TATAACTTTACCAGGTAGCATTTAAGCAAGACATCACTACTATGAATTAATTAAATTTCTCCATCTCTTAACATTATATTACATTAAATTACAACCAAAACATACTGAACAGAGTTTACACATTTTAGTCAAGGAAATTATCTTTAACATGTAACATTATTATCATAAATACTGTAAATAAAAATACCACTGAAGGTACTACATGTGCTTACACATCCAAAAGTACCTCCAGAGATTAGTTTGAAACCACGACACAACAAAATACTGTTGAACAGTTCACGCCATCTTGTTCACAACATCCTCCGACTGCTTTAACTTACAGTAATATGGTTTTAAACCACCTATTTAAGCTAGCATCACGCTGCAGTTTTAGCTCTCTCCTAAAGGTTACAAACTTTACTCGTCGGAGCTTCCAGGTGGGGAAAACTCCTTCGGTAAATGACGGCATTCAAAAATCCTGAGTGATGGTGTTTTTACACTTAAGACCCGCTTCTGGGCCAATGTGATCTTGTTTTTCCACATGCGTCTTAGCCTGCTTCTCTCTGTTCTTCCTCGGTGCAGTCTGGCGCTAAAGTGAGCGCACACTAGTGTTGTGTCGTTCAAAGTACGTTTCGTTCATAAGACCTAATCGTGTGTATGACTCGGGAGGAACGGGTTGTCTCAGTGAGTGATTCGTTAATTTTCATGCATGCGTGAAGGATCTTGGACTCTTGCGTTCACTCGTCACACGTCAGCTACATGGGCTCCGTCAGCACAGGAAACAGAATTGATTAGTTCACGACTCTCAACTGTGGGTCTGTTTGAGTCGTTCATTTGTCATGTGACAGCTTGGCTACAGGGCTGTGGTAAGCAGGCAGCACAGGAAACAGAAGTGATTAGTTCACGACTCTCAACTGTGGGTCTCTGAGTCATTCATTTGTCACGTGACAGCTGCTACTGTGGAGCAGGAATGAACCACTCGTTCACTGCTCACATGGGTCCTCCTCAGTCTTTCGTTCACTCTGCAGGCTGAGTTACTGCCAGCGCCGGAGAATGAGAGGCAGGGCGGCTGTCAGGTCACAGTCACTGGACTGACATTATATAGCTATTTTATTAATTATTATTTGTTAACATTATTACAGCGCAGTGATGTTGTGCTAAGTTATAGTTTTAACACAGCCTGCTAGTGTTTAACATTACAGCTAACAGCTGATGAGAGTTGTTGTGGGTCCACTTCAGAGCCCTAACAGAGTTCTACCTGGAGCCGAATTACCTCAGAGGTAGTCTCCTCTCCAAAACAAACAGACCCGGTCATTAAAACATTAAAACACAGCCACGTAGCAACATTAGAGTTAGCCCTGTAAACAGCTAACAGCTGATCCAGGTCCACCAGAGAACGCAATGTAACTTTTCCTTTTTATTTACCAACAGAGCCGTGCTGTTGTTTCACAGCTCCTGACTGGTGAACAACCTGCAGTGTTTGAGAGCGATGTGCTCATGTTCGTTTCTCTGTCTGCATAATCCGGACCTGATGTGGCCCATTCTGCGTCCAGAACTGCCACATTGCTGCGTTTATATGTGTTTATTTCTTTGTTCCTCTGTCTGTGCTGGAGTTCTTTAAGAACTTGAGGCTTGATCCAGATTATTATTTAATTGGTTGAAATTTAATAAGAGTGTGTTTATTCATATAGTGTATCAAGCTTATTACTTCAATATATTTACTGCAAATCTGATATTAATATTTTACTCATGGATAGGGACGTTATATATGGCTGGTCTGGTTGCATACTACTCGGGAAAGATTGTGAAAATGGAAGGATTTAGCGGAGTAGTGGTGATTACATATTGACAATATATTTCTGTGGTTTTTACATGGTTTGAATTTGGTTGTGGGGGTTTATATAATGATGATATACAGTAATCAAGAGGTGAGGGCTATAGGGCTGCAGCACCGCAATAACCAGCCTAGTTCAAATGAACGAAATGAACGAAATGACTCAAAAAAAGATTAGTTAATTTTAAAGAACGAGATTTGAATGAACGAGTCTGTCAAAAGACTCGAACTTGCCATCACTAGCGCACACTGCAGAGACTACTGGATGCGCCAAGGGTCAAAATAGCGCTGCTTTAAGGCCCGTATTTTGTTATGTTTTCTTTGGTAAGGAGGAGACATGGTTGAGAAGGCGGCTTGACCAGAAACCATACTTTCACTTGTTTACTGTGTTAAACACAGATACACAATATTGAGTTTTTTTCTTCGGTTGCGTATGGAATGCAACTAACGTTCTGTTTCAAAACTTTATTCACTAGTTTTATTTTGAAAGCGTAACCAGACGTTGCGTATTTATTGTTGCTAACTTGACCGCCGAGACGTCCAAAAACAACTCGACATAGGGGTGTTAACCCAGGCCCTAATAAAGCTGAGACTTAAGAAGCCTAACTGAGACTTTTTTCAATCTCATTTGTAATGTTTTGTATGGCCTAGATAGTCCTTACTTTAGAGAGAAAATACTTATTAAATAATTTCCTTAAATGTTCTATATGATTGTATGAACCATAGGCGCATAAATATGTTTTTTCATTGGAATAACTTTTTATCAAATACAATCAATAAGCACATAATTGATGAGCTGGTAGTGATAGATGATCTGTCTCAGAGAAATGGTACCAGGCCTGTAACAGTGAGGCTTTTACCCAGTAAAGTTAGCTGGGGCATCTTTCGTGTAGACTTAGTAGCATCCTTTGGGCTTTGCCACTGGTAGATTTACGAGTTATGCTGAGATTGTTTATATTCTTTCTCGGGAAAGTATCAAAAAACAGGCAGTTAACCTATGTCGTCTTTTTTTTTTTAACTTTCCAAATGATCTTATGAACCATTAACAACTCGTATATAAATGGTTTGTCATTAAAGTATTACTTAATTTATAAATAGTGAACCGATCATGTATAAAGTAAGAAAATACAATTATTAAGCACATTATAGATGAGCCTATTAATAAAGAATACAACATGTATAACTATGTTTATAAATTACTTACTAATGTGTATTAATGTAAGAACAATGGTTTATAAATGAATTAAAAATGTACTACTTAACAACTGCTTTATAGTGTGTAGATAATAAAGAATAAAACATTTGTAACTGTGTTTATGAATGACTTACTAATGTGTATTGAAGTATGAACAATGCTTTATAAATGATGAATTCTTTATTTACTAATGCTTAACTAAAGCTTTATAGTGTGTAGTTATTATAAAGTGCTACCGAGTCTGCTAACACCAAAAAAACGACAGGCTCCCAGCACAACACAGACCACTGTGGTCCAGTGGATAGCACTGAGGCCTCACAACAAGAAGGTTGTGGGTTAAAATCCTGGTTGCCCCGGCCTTTCTGTGTGGAATTTGCATGTTCTGCCCGTATCTGCATGGGTTTGCTCCGGTTTCCCCACAACCAAAAACATGTTAGGTTCTCCAGTCAGCGTTATTGACCAGACACTGGCAAAGATCTAGAGTTGGTCCCTTGGAAGATGGGTTAAATGCAGAGAATGAATTTCACTATGTGTATGTGACAATAAAGTATCTTCTTCTTCTTAAAACAGACTCCAACACAAATTCAACATAAGGATAATAAATATTCGACTTCGAACAAAAACACAATTAACATCGGAAAGGCATTTGAGTCACCTGAGAGACCTTCACTTTGTTTTCATAACCAACCCAGAGCTAGCGCACATCCCATCAGACAGGTAAACTCACATTACTGCAAATCATGTGAAATATATTTTGATTTTGTGCTTTAGTTGGCTCAAGTTAGGTAACGATAGTTTGCCGGCTAATGGCGACCAATTGCTAATATCACCTGTTGCAAAATACTAGAGTTGTATGGCTTGCCCCATTACTTCACCAGCTAATGCGACCCATATTACTATCCTGTGTACCACCGGAGTTGTTTTTAACCTGAAAGAAATTATGTAACATTAACAGTACAAAGCAAATGTGATGTCAAAGTATCACATTGGCTAAATGCAGTCATTGTAACATTATCACGCAAAGAGCATGGTTTAGCTCAACGTCAAGCTTAAAAAATATTACTGTAACATTGCAGTGGGAGTTTACCGGAGTTTCCATCATTTTCTGTGAAGCTGTCTCCTGGAGCGCCATCAGTACTGTATTATTTGAAATAAATTACTATGTTTAATCTGTAATGTTTTGCCTGCCATGACGAACACACCATGAATTATTACTAAATTCTTCAACTTCTGTCTTTTTAGCCTGTTTTTAGCCTTCCATCAACACCACTTCCAGCAGCAGCAAGCCACTGTTTTACAGCTAACAATAAAGTACCATGTGGCACACAAACAAAGTTAGCGACTACAGTTAACATTAGCCAGTGAAGGGGACTGTATAGCCAGCATGCTAAAGAACGTGCAGCTGCAGTACTTCTTATCAGTATTTTTTGTTTTGTTGACGTAGTAACCATAGCCGTTAGCCGTAATAACATTAACTAATGTTATATCAGGGATGTGGGATTTGTCAGCTTGTTTAGGAGCTACTCTGCCCCGAAGCGGCAAAGTCAGAACTTGAACACTCAATATTTAATTTAAAATGCAATGCACAGGACTAGTCTACACAATTAGGGTTTTAACGCTAGCTAATACAATGGAACTTAATGCTAACTTTACATGCTATATGTTAAGTTTCAGCAGCTAAAACACTACACTTAGCTGTTAGGGAACTAACAATAGCTAGCCAGTTATACCTAAAAACCTAGTTATACCAATAGCAATTATCCTAAAATACAAAACCATGTGTGTGTCCAAAAACGTTAATACTTACAATTAACAGTTGAAATTAGCTAGCCTTACAATGGATTTCAATGGTGCCAACATTTCACTGAGTAAAAAAGGTAGCATGATAGTACTACAACAATGTTAATGTACTGAATTATAGTGGCAGTTGGCATTAGTGTGTACTTGGTTTCTACTTGTCGACTCTTATTTTGGAACATTTAACCGGACTTCCCGTTGTAGTTCGTCTCTCACGTGGTCGCCACGCAGGTCACAGGTATTTTATACAGTCTATAGCTACAGTCAGCAAAAATGAGTTTTCTAATGCGACTTTGTAGTTTGGTCGTCAGTGCGTTATGCTTGCCCCTTCATCTGATGGAAGCGGCAGGCCTGTATCAACTATACAAACGTCTCTTCCCATTTTGTTTATACCGGATTTCTGTAACGTACAACAAAAAAATGCACGACAAGAAGAAGGAGCTGTTTCGCAGCCTCACAGAGTTCAACCAGCCTGGCGGCGGGCGGCTCACAATTTTGGAGATTGGCTGCGGCACCGGCACAAATTTTCAGTTTTATCCGCCTGGCAGCAAGGTGATCTGCACTGACCCGAACCCCCATTTTCAGAAATATCTGAAGAAAAGCATGGGCGAGAATGACCACCTCACGTATGACAGATTTGTGGTGGCGTCGGGGGAGGACATGGGGTCAGTGCAGGACGAGTCGGTAGACGCTGTTGTCTGTACCCTGGTGCTCTGCTCTGTCAACAACATACCGCAAACTCTGCGAGAGGCCCACCGCATACTGAGACCAGTAAGTCATCTGTGGCTCCTGAAAAACTTAGGTCAAAATAGGTGTATTCCCAGTAAATGTGCAGCCATAGCCTGTATTTGAATAAGGCTACTGTTCAAATAATAGCTGCGCTGCAGTTCAACTTCTGGATTAATCATCCACCAGTGGAAATTTATAACAATTCCCTAAACAAACAACAAGAAAATAAGTGTTTTTTGGTAGGATCATATAATATTTTATTTTGTATCTATGTATAGAATTTACTGAGAATATGAAATAAAATTTAATATGCTAAATAGAAAAACCTTGTGTGTTTGTGTAGGCCTATGTTAGTGAGGTGTCTGCTGTGTATTAGCCTCTAATTGACAAAAATAAAATAACTCCTCATGCTGATGTAAAACATGCAAAGCAGAGAAATGATCCCACGCAGATGCACCTCCCAATGTACTAATTATTTCATCTTTAGGTTGTTGCCACTGGATTTCCTATTGACTCTTACTAATAATTATACACTGCTGCTACCTTTCTCCTGAGATGATGCCAGTATGGTTTCATAATTCATTTTGATGTGCCAATCAATATTCTCTTATGGACTTTCATTCCATAATATCAACTTGCATCTGATATTCAACTTGAAAGTTTTTGTATTTGACAGTTTCTACCAGTATCCCTGAAAGTAGGCTACACAAAACAAGTATGGGAACCTATTTCTGCAAGAGATATAAAAAAAAAACCCAACATGTATTACCAGGTAGAATGGATACATTTTTCAATTTGCATACTATATTATGCTACACATAGCCAATCTTTGCTTTGCAGGGGGGAGCCTTCTTTTTCATCGAGCATGTTATGGCAGACCCCTCCACCTGGGCCTACTTCTTCCAGCATGTTCTCCAGCCTGCATGGTACTACTTTGGGGATGGATGCATGGTCACCCGGGAAACGTGGAAGCATCTGGAGGCGGCTGGATTCTCTGAACTCAAACTGAGACACGTTGAAGCGCCGCTCACCTTCTTGATCAAACCACACATCATAGGTTATGCTGTGAAATGAAATTCTGTCTGGTTAGCTTCGCGTAGCAGCTTGCCTCGTGACTATAGCGTGTGAATATGCCAAGCACTAAATGCCTGTCCTCTCCCATGTCATATGATTGATCACCAGTGACTTTGATACTAATTTTATTTTTGTATTGAAAACTAATTTTGCATTTTGCACTTAAGTAAAAAAAAAAAAGATGATGTTTGATCTTCTATCCTTCATTCCCCATCTCCAAGTAGCTTGCAGATACATCAATCAATATGATGCTACCATAGGGAATTTCAGAGTTTATCTGCTTGATACTATTTTTTTGTACTTTTTATGCCATGATAATTGTCACAATGTACTTTTTTTTGTTGTGATTAAGATAATTGTGTTAATAATTAAAGAGTTTAATCCTTATGCGTTGTTAGTTTTTTTCCTATTGAGATGACATAGGAAAGTTCAACATTTGGGGAAAGGTGGACTTGCTCTCGCATCCCCCCCCCCCCCCCCCCTCCTGCAGACTACACTGTTTGCGCCATCGTGTGGTGAAAGTGCAACCCAGACACTGCCACTCAGGCATTAAGAGTGTAATCTTTTGATCTTCTAAAGTCGCCTGTCTTAACATGCCCCCAGCAAGATTGTGTTTAAGATTAACTCTGAAGAAAATGAAGTATTTTCTCATGAAATTATGCAAGCTACTTTGTTTTGTTCTGACTTTGCCTGTACGTCTAATGGAAATCATAGGCGTGTACGGTATGTACAAACGTCTGTTTCCCTTGCTTGCCTACAATATAACATTTTCATACAACGACAAAATGCACAAAACAAAGAGGGAGCTTTTCCGAAACGTGGGCAAATTTGCAAACACCGACGGTACTCTTCGTCTGCTGGAGATCGGCTGCGGCAGCGGGGCAAACTTCAAGTTTTACCCCTACGGCTGCACGGTAATCTGCACTGACCCCAACCCGCACTTCGAGAAGTACCTGCGGAGGAGCATGGACGCAAACGCGCATTTAACTTATGACGAGTTTCTAGTCGTCTCTGGAGAGGACATGAAGGGAGTGAAGGACGAGTCAGTAGACGTGGTAGTCTGCACCTTGGTTCTCTGTTCTGTCAGCAACGTGCCGTCGGTGCTGAGAGAGGTCCGACGCATTCTCAAAACAGTGAGTCTCAATGGGTGTCAATATGCTGCCTTCAAGCGCTGTCGGAAATAATTTATAATGTAACTTGTGTGACTACAGGCTACATGAGCATGGCTGGATGAACCTGGTATGAGGCACTAATCAAACCCAAAACAAGACATAAATGTGAAGCTTTATTTTTTGCCCAAACAACCAGAAACCAGCATAATGCCGACTGGCCCCAGGCAGTCTGTGTGTCAAATAGGTTGCGGAAATGTGTTCAAACACTCGTTTATTTGGGGAAATGTACCACCGCAGTAAAATAATAAAAAGAAGTTAAAACTAGGTTTTGACAGGTGGCCCTTATACAAGCTAAGCCAGCAAGATTGGGTAATGCAGGATCCCAGTCTCCAGAAACCAGTTGGGGTGCACCGAATCTGGGGCTGTTTTGGGCCCTCTGAGGGTCTGGGGCCCAGGGCAGTTTCCAGCTTTGCCGACTTGGTAATCCAGCCTTGCACATAGAAAGTAGAATGTGTCAAGTAAAATCTTAGGCTATGTATTGCTATTATAGATGTCTGTTTCAGTGTGAATACATTATGCCTGTATATTAAAAACATTTGCGGTCAGTCTTAGTCCTTACACATTAAACCATTTGGTTAAGAATATAAAAAGGGTACTGAGAGTGTCAGATTATGGCAAACATTAAATGTTTCTCTGGTTGTTGTTGCTGTTAACTTGACACCAAAATGAAAAAAACATTTCCTGGGCAGTCCTCCACATTACATCAAGAAAGGCACAAATTGTCGGTTAGGCTACAAATATTAATTGAAAACCAGTAAAGGGATTTAATTAAACTGGAGAAAGAAGTCTCTCTTCCATTCTGGCATTTGTCCACATTACACAAATGGGCATGCATTAGGAGGCTGTACACTGTTTTCACTGACTGGACCAAATGAATTATCATTTGGATGGGATGACTTTTTATTTATCTTGGCCTCTTGACAGGGGGATATTCTACTTAAGTTGTACACATGCTGGAATAGCGCATATTGCATTTAGTTAACAGACAACATTGTGTAATTTTACTATTAAATTTAACCTATAAGACATCTGAAATTACAAAACCTGACTTGATGAAATGTGCGATAATCTGTTTTTGTCTGCTCCCTCTTACCACAGGGTGGAGCATTTTACTTTTTGGAACACGTTGTCTCAGATCCCTCCTCCTGGACATACTTCTTCCAGCACATGCTTGAGCCTCTGTGGTACTATCTTGGGGATGGATGCATGATTACCAGAGAAACGTGGAAAGATCTAGAGGCAGCTGGTTTCTCTGAAATTTATCTTAAACACATTGAGGCTCCAGAGGTTACTCTCATGATAAGACCACACATCATGGGATATTCCATTAAATGACTGCAGGGGAGAATGGGGTAACTTTATTGATGACATTTTCTGCACCCATTTGTATAAGATCTGCTTACATTTTCATGGAACAAAAATGACACTTGTCACACTGCCTTTTTTGAGTGAAAATATATTTATTTACTTACAGAATCAGCAACATTTAATACACCGTTTGTTCTTCTTCCCCATCCCTCCCAAGATGTACATAATAAATATTACCTGGACACTGTGCTTTTTTTTCCCTGATTGTCTAAGTAACTGCCAAGAAACAACCAACCAAACCACACTCAATGTCATCATTTCTGTTACCCTTTATATTCCATTGCACAAAAATAAGGAATGAAATTGTAACATCTCCTTTAAGGGGAATTGCTGGTTCAAGATATAAACAGGAATTATGTCTGTGTAGTAATTATACAGTCAGAATTCAGTGATGCTGTTAAAATATATTTTTTAAAAGAGCTCCAACAGCAACATTTTTTAAAAAACACAAGAGAAAAAGGGAAAGGGATACATTTAGAAACTGAGACTCAAAAGTTAAAGATCACAATTTCAAACCTCCCAGTATTAAAATGTACACAACTATAAATGTTATAGCATTAGCAAATTTTTAAAAAACAGCAGGTGGAAAAATGACCAATTTCTTTTTTATTTGTCGAGTATATCTTACTGCCATCACAAGTCACTTTTATATCAAACAGAGTAAAAAAAAAAGTGGAGGATCTCAGCCTGAAATGAAGTGTTCCCAGAAACCCTGTCCATGTCCAAATGGCTGAGCTGTGCTGCTCCCACATTTGTCTCAATCCTCAACCTCTATTCAAACAGGTTATCCTGTTTTAACACAATAAAGGTCCTTTAATGTTTTGAGTTCTTCAATCAGGGTCTTGTTTTGGTTTTCAAGAACAGCTACGCGGTTTTCCAGGCATTTAACATATTCCTTTTTCTTCCGTCGACATTCACGGGCTGCCTCTCTGAAAAAAAAAAGAGGGGGGGGGGGAGTGCAGTTAGCCATGGAAAGATTATACAGTGAGTGCACTTCAGTATATCACAATGTACAGCAGTGGTTTTCAAGCTTTTTCTGTCATGTCCCCTTTAAAAAGCTGAAAAAGGTAATTTCATGTTCATTCAACTTAGTTCCACTCCATAGTTTTCCTCGGTCATCCGCACACACCCTGCAGTTTTACTATGTACAGTATGGTCACTATTGTGACATGAAATTACATATACAGTGATAAAGGATTTTCTCTATATCCATGACCCCTATCTGTCTGAAGCTACAGGCATAACAGCAAAATATGTGTAAGTAACAAACATACTTTGCAAATAAGATGCTTGCCTGGGATGATTTATTGGGGAAATATTTGCCTGTATCTGAGCTCCAGTACTGGAGGCATCATCACAAAACCTTTTTCCTTTACCACGCCCATCTTCAACCAAGTCCAGTTGCCCTTGACTTTAACCTTCTTTGGTTTACCACGCCCAGTTTGTTTCTCCTGTGATAGTTCTTCTGTGTCAAACAACAGAGGATGGCAAGTTGCCATTCTCTCAACTTCAACATGCTAACTAATCACCTGTCATGCATCAAATACAACGCCCGAGACAGAGCAGCGGTCTATATTTGAATGATAAAATAATTATAAAGTAAATGTAAATTATCAAGGGGTGAGCGCAACATACATCACTCACTTCTACAGTAATGGAGAGGAGGATCTTACTTTGACTGTGTATCTTGTTATCTGTTATATATGTCTTTTATTGTCATTGCTCATGACTTTGTAACATGATTTTGAATAGTGCTCTAGAAATAAAGATTATTATTATTATTGTAGTCAAATACTAAGACTGTTCTTCTCCAGAATGTCCGTGAGATTTGACATTTCTGACACAGATTTCGCTATTCAAAACCCGGGAATGAACAGTACACTTACCTGTTTTTTGCAAGCCTGATTTCCCTCTTTACTGTTGGATCATCAGTCTTGCCCTGAGATAGTCCCACAGGAGAGGTCATAACTACAGTCTGAGACAGGGAGCTGGATGTGGGAGCTGTACGGATCTGGTATGTTTGCATCTCACCTCCTGCGCCTGAGGGAAACACGACAAGATTTAAAAAAAATAATACTAACAACAACAACAACAACAACAACAACAACAACAACAACAACAACAACAACAACAACAACAACAACAACAACAACAGGGGTTTTAACAGCTCAAGCTAGGCTCAACATTTTGCTGGACCATCCTGCTTTTTCCTTTTCTTTGTCAGAGCCCTAATTGAAATAAATGTGGAGACTATTGTCAGTCTGAACACCCAACACATTTTGGCTTCTGCCCAGCAGTCAAACTAGCCGGAATATACCTGGAATCCACTTACAAAAAGGTGACTCTACTAGTAGACAAAAATTGGCTTAGAAATCTTAGAAAATCAGAAACATTTTGCTGAATTTTACTCACCTTGTACAACAACCTGGTTGCTAGGCACCAGTATCTGCTGGCCGTCAGGTGTCTGGGCATACTGGAGGATGGTGGTGCCTTGCTGGGCTCCACCAGAGTTGGCCATGGTGACAGTCTGTAGTCCATGAATGCCTTCGGACCCTGGTGTCGCCAGCTGGATTGTGCCATTAGCGGCTATGGTAACTAGAATAATAACACAGATGGCATCAGAATCAGTAAAGCACACATAAAAATCCCATCTCAGCAGGCTAGGTAAATTCTGAGTAACGCAAAGTATTCTTCTTTTAATAGGGAATAAAAAAGAAAGATGAAAACATCACACAGATGTTTTCAGCATTTCGCTTCGGGCGATCTTCTCTATTTTCATATCGTCCAATCATGGCTACTTGAGACCACCGATTGGCGAGTGGGGCGGGTTACGCTGCAGCATGCCAGTGAAATTACCGTGTAACGCCGTGCGCGCAGGGTGGAGTGGTGGTGCAATCAATATTGTCTAGCAGCTATTTACAGCGTGCTAACCTTGACAACCCAACTGTATTCTAAAGTTAACAGAGCTGTTCATGATACTGACCAGTCAACTACGCATTGATTAAGGAATCGCGGAAAAGCTGGCAACAATCTTTCTTCCAGCGCATGATCAGGTTTTGACTTTGCACAAGGAGGAGGGTCTATATACTGACAGCTGTTTCAATGTGTTTGTGAGAGAGAGAGAGAGAGAGAGAGAGAGAGAGAGAGAGAGAGAGAGAGAGAGAGAGAGAGAGAGAGAGAGAGAGAGAGAGAGCAAGTGGAGGTGCCGAGCAAATCTATGCGCAGCCCTGCGATGCATTATGATTTTACTTATTTTAAATAGTAGGCCTATATAGTAAGTGGTGGTCAGCACTTAAATTGTGGCGTGTCGTGTCGTCACAAATAAATCAATGAATGGGAAACACTACAGTGTAGTGTAGAATCTAGAGACTGTTTATTGTCATCTTAGTTCTGATAGTGCAGTGTTTCCCATTAATTAACGAGACCATGGCGGCCCGCCATAGTTTCAAAATGAACCGAAAAATATTTTTACATCTTACAGACCTCTAACATTGTGTTTTGTGGGCACTTCTCCGCCCTACTGTAAGCTCTCACGCTCAGACACTTTGGCCTCCGTCTTGAGACAACCACATTTCTTTTGAGGTAACTATAGTAACGTTAACAGCCTGTTTCTGTCACTCGTTTGTGAGAAGGCGATTTAGCTAGCCACGCCTACATTTGGAGTGCACACGTATTGGTACATGGTAAATCTACTGAAACGGCCCACAGCGAGCTGACAGGCAGGTTAGCGACTTTATCCTGTCAGTTTCTCTCTTTACAAAGATAAGTGTTGCAGTATTAGAGTCCTACCTGAAGAGAGGCTGTGAAGTCTTCATTTTACGGGATACCAGAACCACATACAACATTATTTATCAAGTTTGGACTCTGGTTGGACTTAATGAATTTAGCACGAGGATACACACAACGCCCGGTTTTCAAAATAAGGTGTCTATACAGCATGGAAATAAGATTAATTGGATTATATTCACAGAAAGTATAAAACATATTACATGTGTCCAATAAAAGTAAAAAAACAACAATAAAATGTTAGGGAAATGACTTATTCTTCTATTCTTTGATTCAGGGTTTTTGGGAAAACATTAAATAAATTTGTTGACTTTTGTTGCTGTTTCATCACCATTTATAGCTATACAATGGGTTTATGATCAAATAGTTTATTAGAGCACAACATTGTTTATAAGCGTACACAGTTCTTCATAGATAGCCTCTTAATTTTGCACCAAATTAATGCATTTAACTTTAAAATGTTCAAAACTTTCTTATGGGGGGCATGCCGTGAGAGGGTTTAAGGCCCACCCACCAAAGTCTCTTAAAATCCTGTGGGAAACACTGTAGTGAGTTAGTTAAAATCGCCTTAATATTGGCGCATGAAAAACCAATCGCTGATCATCCTTCAATCATGTGCCTATTGCCGATTTAATCGCCACACGCCAAATCATAAACAACACGCAATTATTAAAAATTTCACTTTTATTAATTCCGTGGCCTACAAAAACATAACATTTGAAAACAAATTTTGCCTTTTTAATGCAAGTACTATGGAAGGGAGAAGTTCCTACTGTACTGGCCGCTGCTGGTCTGGTAGATTTGAGTGGTGGGTACTGTAACACCTGTGGATACCGGGCTGTTATCCTTCCCCTCAATGTGTGCCATTTCCTCAGATGAAAGTTCATTTAGGATTTTTCTACAAGGTGAGAAGACAAGGGTCACATGATTTAGTATTCATCTCACAAAACTGTTATTGTGTTGTGTTTGTGCTTGTAGTTTTCTTTTTTACCTGTATGAAGGCCGTCTTGCCAGTATTTCTCTGGTCTTTTGGGCTGTGACTCCACTGTCTGATGAGTCCTGTGAATCTTCACTATCTGAACCCTGGACCTTGAAAGAAGGAGGTGGATTAACAGAGTGCAACAGAATAATTGTATAAAATGGCATGCTCACAGAAGAAAAAAATAAACTAAGATGATGAATCAAACAAAGGCTAGCATTTAGAATCAATGATTGCAGTGTCAATAAATCCAGGTGGTCTCACCTGTGAACTCTGCATCTGAGGGGACTGTATGACTGACGACTGTGCAGACTGGATCACTCCTTGAACCTGAAACTGACCCCCTGGCAGCTGTACAACAGCCACAGAAGAACCACCCAGGGACATCTGCACAAATCCAAAAAATACAGTATATTCATCATGACAAGCTTATTCAATTTGTGTGTGCAAAAAAGTCAGTTCCGACACACATTGAGACATCATTAGAATAAAAAATAAAAAAATTGCTTTAGAGGGTAATAATTTCACCCAAATTACACAAAACATATTTTTTTAAGTGAGTTGAATTTTGCTTGTGTTCCTCTGAGAATTGAAAAAATATATTAGAAACATTCAGCAGCAGTGTGTCTTCTAGAGATGATGCACCTGGTTATCCTGGATAATCAGCAGAACTCGCTTCAAACAGTTTAGACAGGATCTACGTTCCACTAAATAAATAGTCTTATTAAAAATGTCAGTAATGGCTGTAGATTATCTTAAATAACCAATACATTTAGTTTTAGCAAAGACAAATTAATGTTGAGTTTTCAAAATATCATTTTTTAATAACTTTGGCATAATTCAATTATCCATCACTGTAGTTGACTGAAATCTTTAAGATGCAAATCTCAGAAAACAGCAGACTAGTCGCACGAAACTCCAGATTCAGTAATCCCTTTCTCTACTGCAAAACTGACAGATATGTCTCTATTAAAGAATTAATTTATACTGGATAGTGAGAAGTGAAAACTCACTGTGCAAATTACTCACATTTTTTAATGCAATCCAATTTTAAAGATAGGCTTTCAATTTTAATGGACTTCCTTTAAGTTTGCTGATGAAGGCTAACACAATGAGAGTTATGTGGAAGCCTCTTAGTTCATGATCAACATGGCTGTCTTGTTGGATCCTTCTTAAATGCAAGTTGTAGGACAGCAAGTTATAACAAACTTACTAAATATATAAAGTGGAAAATGTAGCTGTATTAATAAGCAAACCACAAGAACTTAAAGTGTGATTTGAGCATTCATAAACAAAGTGGACTAGCGGTTTTTACATTGCAAGATCTACTGTGGCAATACAGTGTGGCATTATTTGAGACACTTTTAATGGTAGCTTGAATGGGATCTATTAGTTACCTGTTGGGCTATCTGTGAGAACTGAGAGGTTGTGATGGTAGTGGGAATGATGGTAGTCTGTGACTCTGTGCCATTGCTGCCCTGCTGTACTTCTTCCATAGTAACTGGGAACAAATAAATCAATGTTTTAATAAATCAGTTTTACAACGGCTCTAAAGTAAGACAATGTGTCAGGGCTGCCTGCATGTAAATATGCTGCAAGTTACTACACTGTGGCCTGTGCGCTATGTGTTAATATAACGTTAAGTAACAACTCTTCCCGACCAGATTAAAGCAATATCAAATCTCAGCTTCTTAGTTTAGCTAACCGTTTCTTCGGAAGTTAAACAGGGCAGTCTAAGTTAAATAAAAGATCGACTTCCTCTTTGGTTCGATCGTGTTAGCCAATGCAACTAACGTTAACACGGAGTTACGGAACATAGCTAGGCCCGACTGTTAATACTGTTAACTTTTTCCCCTTAGGATTTAACTAAATGCAAAATTTAACAAAGTGGGCGACTTCATCCCGGGCAAACGTTTGCAGCTGACATAAAGTTATCCTTTGAGTCACTAACGTTACTGCTAGAATGTTCCCACCAACATTAACGTTACCGCTGCTAGTTAACGGTAGCTAACGTTCGGTTAAACGGACGTTAACCCGTATAAACCGTTAATAAACAACAGCTTTAGAGCAACAAGCGAGGCGAAGTTTGGTGACTCTGGTTCACAGGATGGATGAGCTTTTGTCTCAATGAGCAAATATGTGTAACTATGTCACTGGCACGCAAGTTACCGCGTCAACAGACGTCAGCGATACGGGGAGCCATTAAGCTAACTACACCTTCCCTTTTCGTAAAACGGCGAGAAGTTGACGAAGCAACAGCCGCCATTACCGCCACAGCGGAGCAGCCAGACGAGCACAAAAACTACCGCTCAGACAGCCACAATTTACCTTTTCAAATGCCGCGTAACTGCTCTTGTTCACAGCGTGGACTTCGTGCAATTCGTGTATATACTTTGACACAACAAGTACCTTGAAATGTTGATTAGCAGCAATGGCTAACAGCTAAAAATACAAAGATGTCAGCTAAAAAAAAATAGCTGACCACTTTTTTTCCCCAAAGGAAATGGGCGGTGCTGCGTGGTAAAGACGCATTACGCAATAATTTCTTTGGGCTTTGTGATTGGTGAGAAAAGTTCAATGGTAGATACAGAGTGGAGGAAGACTCCGCTGCATTTACTTGACAGCTGTACTTTGACAGTCCAGGTTTTACAAATGTGTTGTTATAGATTAAACAACCAAACAGTAAATAAAGCACTTAAAATACGCTGCTGTACATGAATGCATCAGTAATAGTAATACGGTAATATACTCTGACAGGTGCCATAATACATAATAAATACTTATACTTCAAGCACATTTTGCTGATAATACTTATGGGCTTTACATAAATTAAATTATGAATGGCTTTTACTTCACATTGAGTCTTCTTGGATCACTCGTGCCCTCTAGTGTTTGGTCATCTTTTCTTGAATCCAGATCAGAACAGTGTAGTCTACTTTAGACCATGCTGCTGTTAATTTTTTTTTCATATGTGTGTGTGTGTATGTTCAGTACCAGACAAATTCTGACTGATGTTTTCCATCACTTGAAACATTTAAAGCCCTGACCTTGGGCCTCATCCCTTTACTTCAGAACGGAGTAAGCATCCCATAAACATCAGAGACTGAAATTTTGGAGAAGCCTTCTCTGTGCACTGAGCCTACACAGGTGCAAAGTCTGACAACAACACTTTTAGATTTTCTTTAAATTTAACATTTATTTAACCAAAAGTAAAATACTTACTGAGATAAATATTTAGTTTTGTGGTATTATTTTACAAAATGTTGGCCTTCAGGAAGACATTTCCTCGGTTCAGTGCACACAATTCTGGCTTTATACAAAAACATTTGGCTTTGTTTGATTCATCAATTTACATGAGATGTTACTTTGAATTTGCCTATTTTGTAACTAAAATATCTTCCCTGTCCATTATGACAAAATTCTCAAACATGCCGTCGTGTAAGAATTCAAAAAGTGATGTTATAAGGTCAATTTCAACCACTTGTACATCATTACTAAACTCATGAATATCAGGACAAGTGGAATGATTAAATGCTTTTGTTTATTCTGCATTACTTTTACATAAAGTATAAAACAAAGTACAACAAAATGAAATAGAAAAGAAATGAGAAGAATTGAAAGGGGTGTACCACCTCGATTTCTCAACTATACGAGTTAAAGCACCTCTCTAACATTAAAGATTCCTTGGTGGATCACACCCTCATGGAGAAGTTTAGAATTCACCAAATAGTTAATATACAACATACCAAGAGTGCATACACAAAATATTGATAGAACAACTCAAGAGAGATTAATGCAGTCGTAAGTACACTACTGGTTAAATGTCAGCAGTCCCCTGTCCTTAGTTATTACAAAATGTATAAGCATCATGTATATTTCACCAGACAGTGCAAGCTTTTAAATTAAATTGCACTGTCATTGGGATTGCATAGTGTGTAAGAACTCTGACGGAGAAAAAGAGCGGAAACCAATGGAAGCCCTTGTAGACTTCGCAGCGAAGCAGGTAGATGGTAGATGGACACTGGTTGTCAGTTACCCCTCTTTTTGCTCATTAGGTTTGCAATGTCCGCCTTAACTACAAGATTTGTTTTGACAAACGTCTACATTTTATGGGTATTATTCACAGATTGCACCAAGGGACCACCTGGTCCATCCCTGTGTTATGAGTTTTGTTCCCTGAATATACAGTTTCATACATATATATCTCCCCTACTTGTGCCTCAAGCTGATTTCTTCTTCTTGTGCTTGGCTGAGTCATGCAAACATTCTGCTGCAAACGTAAGATGCTATGTTAAAGCTAAGATGAAGTGCTATTAACGGCTTTCTCTAGGTGGACTTAAAAGTGGGCAAAACCAAATTTCAAGTATTTATATGTCTAAAAGTATTAACACATTTAATGTAACATGAAATGGGGTTAGTTAAACTAATCGATCCACACAGTAGAAACCTACTGTAAGTACCACCAGTGCAATGTACAGTAATTCAATAGATCATATTCCTGTTTACTTTGAAATGATTAAACATCTTTCTAATATTGTGTTTGGCATGATTGAATGTTAATTGAATGGTACAATTGCAAAAGTCCAAAAATAACAAAAAACTATTTACATGTTGACATGAAGGGTTCATCACCGATTACAGTTTAATCCAGTACAACAAACCTATAAATTATGGCAAGGAGCACAAGGAAAGCACAAGATTGCAGGAATCCAAATACATTTTGCAAATGCATCTTGATGCACTTATTTTTTTACCCTTTTCTTTTACCTACAATTACTTTACTTGCCAATCAAGGGTGTTTCAGATGTGGCTCAGCTTTGCAACGGCATTCACAAGTGCTTAAAAATCCAGTGACTGAACAAATAACATAATCCAGATACATGATGACTTGCCTCTACTGACTACAGACTTACTATACAGTACCAACAACAATCCTGTTGGAATTCAAAGTAATTCTTTACAAAGTTGCACAAAGACAAAACGTGTGCAGAGGAAAAGGAAAGGGCCAACCTCTCAAACATTTGCTCTATTATGCATTGAAAAACTGAGAGGTGTGACTGTTTAGCAATATAAAGTACAATGGTAATGGATATTAGATGCTAACTAATGACTGGTAGCCTGAAAACAGTCATGATATTGGTTTTAGCTTTCTCCTTGCACCAGTTTAATTTTCTGTTTTTTATTCTTTTTTCAATGGCCGACATAAAAGATCCCTGGCGTTAACAGTGATAGCCCTCCCGGTGTCTCGAAGCTCATCAAGCAAGAATCCTCAGAATAATATATGCTCCTGAACCCTTAGTTATAATGCCTCATTGTTATAATAAAATAGACAATTTTTGAGAAAGTGCAATGTTATATCTGTCCTGACTAACAATGCTTTGAAGTTATTCATCTTTACCCTCCATTATACAACTATTATTCCACTTCAAAAGTACTGTCAAAACAGTTTTCTTATTTACAGTCTTCTTTCTGCTACTGTTATCATCTCCCAGCTGGGTTACCTATCCACAAACCATCAACTGAGAGAGACAAGTTAAGCATTTATACATTTATACAATTAAAAATATTTATACAGTAACGTACAGTATCTAAAATACAACAGGCCTTTATAGGTACAGTACAGAATATGGCCTCTTTCCTCTTTTGTTTTGATCCCTTTGGATTTCTGTCTGGATTTCCACTACTAGTCAAAACCAAAGTAGAATAAACAGCCATCAATAGCAGATTTATTAAAAATTAAGATAGGAATGTATGGCTGAAGTTTTATAAAGGCAGGGAATATATTAGGGCAGGAAAGTTGTGAAAATCTATTTGGCTTCATTGTCATGGGATAAAATAAGCTTTCTTAATAATGCACACAGACTGAGACTGGCTACTTGTCTCATGGTTTACTTTCTTCCGCCCTCTTTTATTCATCTGTGTTAGTGAGAAAAGACAAGGGCTCAGCGCATGCATTTGTGTGTGTTTGATGGAAAGCTGCATGTAAAAATATTTCAAGTTTAGTAGCTCTTGGAATCTGTGTAGACGCACGAGGGAAAGCGTTTTAAGAGGTTTGTGGTAGGTACGGAATAAGAAGATGGATTTTCACAAAGACAATAATATATAATTAATTTTAAATGTTTTCAATTTCACAAGTGGTCCTGTTGTATGTGTTGTTTCGCCCTTTCCCCCCAAAAAGTGCAACAGGGTAATTTTTTTTCTCTTTGCCATTTGCAGTACATGTTGCTTCTTTTGCTTCTATCTATAAAACACAGTGAACAACTCCAAACATGGCAGGTCCAATCACAGACATGCAGTGGCCAAGATATGCTGGTGTCACACAGGGTTGGTTGCATGTGTACATGTGGTGCATGCTTTTTCCTTTTCACCATTTGCCAAGCTGTGGTCGAATGCTGGAATGATGGTGCAATAAGCATCCAGACTGTGGATGTGGACAACCCCTCACATGTTGTAAGCGACATAGATGGGATCCAGCTGGTCCGCGAGGAAAGAGTCCCGTAGATGCATGCGCTGCTTCTCTCCCCTGGAGTTGATGGGTATAACCCCGGGGTCCACAATAACCACCACGCCAACAATGAGGTGGTGCTCCTCCAGGACCACGTTGGTTATCAGAGGCACCAGGTCCAGCGCATCCTGTTCCGAACCGCACAGCTCCGACACCACCACCAGCAAGTTGGTCCATGTAAACACAGCACTGTGAGGGACAAGAAGAGGGTGACTGAGAATACAATCCTAACCCAAAAGCAATGGAAATAAAGGAATAGTTTGACATTTTGGGAAATACTCTTATATGCTTTATTGCAGAGACCTAGATAAGAAGATTGATACCACTCTCTTGTTTGTACACTAAACATGAACAGAAAGCTGGCTTAGCTCAGTTTAATCTGTACAAAAACCAAAGTTGAAAAAGGACATGTTGTGTTTAAATCAGGCTAGCTATTCCAGTCTTTGTGCTAAGCTAAGGTTAACCTGCTACTGGCTGTAGCATCATGCTAATGTACGGTCATGAGAGAGGTATCAATCATCTCATTTAAATCTTGGCAAGAAAGCAAATAATCTTATTTCTCATCTATTCCTCTAAACTGGCTTCCTATTATTTCAGTATGTGGTCACCTTTTTTGAGTTTGTTAATTGTATTACACATGTGTAATAAAACGGGCCTGGTTCATGGCAATGGGATAAAAACAAGGCAGGGGATATGTTGTGATGACAGCAAAAAAGAAAACTGCAAAATAAAAGCCAGTGCTGTGCTCTTTAAATATCCATATTTAAAATAATTCTTAAACACAGTGTAATTAAATGTGTGTATCACAATGTGTTTTCTTTTGCCATTGGAGCAGTTAGCATTTTAGTGGTGGATATTACCGCCACAATATGTAGCTTTCTATGAACATTAATAAAGCGTGTGTGTGAATATCAAGAGCATTGTCACCTCTCAGCAATACTGCGGTGAGCCCGGGACACAGAGGTTTCAATATCAATTGGGTGGTAGCGTAGGCCTCTTAGCTCCAAGGTCTCATCCAGTGATCCCACCACAAAGAGAGCATCATGCCGATCTGAGCACAGAAATACGGGCAACATAATCCACCAAGAAAAATATGCAGTAGAAACAAATGTGTAAGAAGCTCAAGTTTGTTATGTTTGAAGGGTTCATTCTGTTTTAAAGTGTTAATTATCCTCAATCTATATAATAATAAACTCATCAAGGCTGACTAACTAAATCTAGTCTTTAGCTGTGTCAGGGTCTATTTACCCCCACTGGCATCCAACAGCTCAGTCCTCTTCACAAAACCCAAGTATCCTGTCCTGGCCCATAAGGTCTGCGGGTCTCCAAAGCTGAGCTTGGTGTTGAAGTGGTTGGCCTGAAGACTCTCCTCTCCGTAGATGGTGTAGTAGCCACTGGCACTGTGAGGGCTGTTCACCCAGATCTAAGAGAGGGAAGCACACACTGGGTCACGGCTGGTTTAGGAAGGAAGGAGGCTTTGCCAGTGATTTTGTCACGATACAGTCATGTTGTCACCACAAAAGGAGAGCGCTTAATTACGGCTTCCTCTCACCTCGCCTAGATGAGAATCCCCAAGCGGACCTTTGGTCTCTGGGTTTACGATTATCACCCGAACACCTGGCAGTATCTGTAGTTGAAACAACATGCACCACTTTAACTTAATAATTCATGAAGTGAATGTATACCATGGTTGTACGCATGTAGCATCTTACCTTGCCAGACTCCATTAGAGGAAGACTCTGAGGTGCTCCTCTCTCCACAAGCCTGACTCTGCAAAAGTCACATACAGAAGCAGACACATGTAGTCATTCATTGAAAACAAGTCTCTTGTTTTCCAAATGAGAATTATCTGACCGATGTTCAGGGTCGCTGGTTTTATGTACGAGTTTTTTCGTGTTTTCACTTAGGATCTAAGGGGTGTTGTTTTCATTTGACACTTTTATTGACTGCTTCATAATTGTAAATGTACACTGCCTGTCTGGTCTGTTTAGTTTAGTTATCCGCAGTTTCTGTCTATGTTTCTACATATGTCTGCAACCTTGTTAATTGTGCTGCTGCCTGTCTTGGCCATGACACTCTTGGAAAAGAGATTTTTAATCTCAATGAGTTTTTCTTTCTGGTTAAATAAAGGTAAATAAATAAATTTAGTCCGTTGTATTTTGGTCTCGTTCTGTCTGCTTGTGTTGTTGTTGAGTATGTTGTATTCATTACTCTGATCTGTTCTGTCTTATTTTGATATAATCTGTGCCTGCCTTAGTTCTTGTTTAATTCTGTTTCTGTCTGATGTTTGTTATTAATTTCCATATCATCATGCTTGGGTTGTATCTCTCTGCTTGTGTTTAGTATTGTTTTGGTATTTTCTTATTTCTGATCTGTTCCATTTTAGTTTCATGGTCTGTCTGTTCAGTGTCCTTTTTCCTGTGGTGATCACTGTTTTATTGATCAGTGTTTGTTTGTTTACATGGTTTATTATGTTATTGTCTGGTATTTGAATCTTGCATTGCTTCTGTCATTCTCTCTGCCTGCCTGCATGTCTGTCTCATTAGTCTGATCTCTGTCACCAGTGTTGCTCACGCCCTGCTGGTTAGTCCCTGTAGATATGCTTGCTTGTTTCTTTAGTCTGTGTCTGGTCATTGTCGTACGTAGCATGTCATGCTGTGTTCTTTCATCTCCTGATACCCTGCTTGTTCTTTTGGATTTTGTGCCCTTTGGATTTTCTTTGTTTCATTTGGACGGTTACCTTTTGGATTACTTGGACTCAGCCGCTCTCAGTAAGTGTGCTCACTTTAGTTTTGTGAATAAACCTTTTGAACTGTACCTGCTTTGTGTGTGTCCTGCATTTGAGTCCTCAACCTCAACCACGCACACCAATCGTGACAGTAAAGCCCCCTCAATGCAGGAGCGACACAGGTTAACTTCAGCTTTTGATTAAATATGAGATAGTTTCAATGCTGCTTTAAAAAATCCACACGAAGACCTAAACTCCATATACTGTATACAGTAGACATAATACAATTTAACTTCTTAAATTAGGAAGTTTGTTTGTTTTAACCAGTCACCCTGACTGAAATGGTTGTGTTCTTACCTGTCATGGCGGAGGGATTTCATGTCCACATAAACTGTACAGGGATCAGGACCAGTGGTGCCCTGTAACACACAAAGAACACGTACATACAGGTCCTACTGGTTCTCATTACTGGTTCCCTACTCTCTCATCAGGTTAAGGTGATTGGTGTACCTGCAGGCAGATGGCAAGGTTAACCCTGGAACCAAAAGCAGTGCTGACGGCTCTGGATGACAGCCCCACGTCCTTAAACAGCTTGGAGAAGGAGTGCGTGAGGGCGAGGCGAGGCCGTTCCTCTGCTATCACCACACAGCTCCGCACACACGACAGGTTCACACCACGGGCCTAAAACACAACCACATAGAATGATCAAATCCCTGATCAAATTCCATGTCCGTCATTCATGATTCTCTCTCTCTGTATGCAGTACTCACCTTGAGTAACTCAGTTTGAGTACCCAGTCCTTTAGTGCAGAGCTCCATGACAGAGTAGGAGCAGAAGGTGTCTCTGACGCGGTACTGACTGAGCGTGCTCAGCCACAGAGACAAGCAGCTCTCCAACTCGAAGGGAGGTATCAGGATGGACTGGTGACCTGAGTAAACACTAAAAGACAAGACATGAAGTAAAAAAAGTGGATGAATGGAGTAGAAATAACATCAGAGATACTAAAACCGGGGTCCGCAGCATGTAAGTATTGTAGGTGACAGATTACCTTACCTTGCGAGGCACCACAAGACAAAGCCCAGACCACAGTAAGGATCCAGGCAGATGGCTATTTGGCGAGAGGAGTACAGTTCACACTGCAATTTTATAGAGCGACAAAGTGCACTGACGGCTGCGTGAGAGATCTGCAACGAACAAGAAGATGTATTAGAAACTAAAGGAAAATGTCCCACTGACACTGTTGCATATCAGTCTGTAAAGTTTGATGCTTTTCCAGGAATAGCTTTGTGATTAAGTTTTCTAATTCACTTTTCTGGACTATTACCCACTTTCTGTCAACCAGTTTTCCCTACTTGTGACATCTTTTACATCCTACAGTAGAATACATTTTGCAATGCAACAAAGCTTGTGGCTGCATTGCATTATATTCTACTCAGGTACATGTATGTAAGTGGAGACTTTGTATCTATTCCATGATGGACATCTCGCTGTATGATTTGAACATCAGTGTCATTGTCGTCTGGCAAAGGTAAATAGGCATTGACTTGGGACAGATGTACACTGAACAAAATCATAAACGCAACACTTTTGTTTTTGCCCCCATTCATCATGAGCTGCACTCAAAGAACTAAGACTTTCTCTATGTACACAAAAGGCCTATTTCACTCACAGATTTCTGTCAAAATCTGTGTTAGTGAGCACTTCTCCTATGCCGAGATAATCTATCCACCTCACAGGTGTGGCATATCAAGATGCTGATCAGACAGCATGGGTATTGCACTGGTGTGCCTTAGGCTGGCCAGAATAAAAGGCCACTTAAAAATGTCAAATCAATGGCTGTGTGAAGTTGCTGGATACTGGCAGGACCTAGAACACACTGTCGTATACACCGATCGAGAGCATCCCAAACATGCTGGACCCCCCCAGTACAGGGAAACTGCACATTTTCGACTGGCCTTTTTGCAAACTAGATTTGCAAAATGTGATCTGTCCTTGGTCTTGGAAACTGTGGGACTGAAAAAAACAACCTGACTGTCTTTGCTTATCTTGTAGTTTACTTAACATTTTTCTGCTGTGCCTGAAATGGAAATGTGTGAGATGACACAATGAATATGTTTATTCAGTTATACACAAATATAAGAAAAGAACATGACAAACACCAAAATAGGTCCACAATTGCACAGATCACGGTCAACAGGATCATTGTTTTAAACAGCAGTTTGGTACAACAAACTGTTAAATTTGGATCTCTTTACCGTAGCAAGATTCATCTTCTTTAAACCTGCAATAACTGATTTATTTGGCCACTTGGGAGCAGCAGAGACAAGTTGTGAACACAACATTGACATATCAACTTTTAATTTAATACAATTTGTCAGCAAACAGTTGCTTATTTATCCAACCACCACTTTCATTCATTTGGAGTTGTGTTTCTGGCCACCAGACAAATTTAAGTCCCGTTGATACCATTGTTGTTATAAGAATGAGGGAGAGAGAATTTGGAAGAAATTGGAAATTGGATTGGGATCAAGATCAAACACAGCAATATTATTAATATATAATAAGTGAAGCTTATCTGTCTCACCTTTACCCCAGTGAGCATGCCTGTAGTGGACACACTGAAGTCAAGATAAGCAATCATCTCCGCTGTGGGCGGCTTATAGATCTGTGGAGGCCGGCGGCGAGGAAGATCATCTGCAAACAAGAACAGCGCATGGTTAACAGAGAACAAAGTCAACATTAACGTATTGCGGTAAGCGTGTCGACTCATTTCCGTTTCCGGTGCTTGTGTGTTGGTACCGTGTTGTGCTGCTCTCGCTAAATAACAGTTACATTTGTTAGATTACAGCGGCCAACTGTTCGCTAAACACTTATTCTTTACAGTAATTTTGCCTAAGCACTCACAGTTCTTTCCATCTTTTAGTGACTGCTGTTCAATCTCATAGTTGTTCTAAAGTTTTGGTAACTGACGCTACAGTACTTTAGCTTAGCCATTAGCGACTTTAGCTTAGCAGCTAGCGATGGCTTCTCCTTCTCCCTCTCTCTCTCCTACTTTCTCCTGCTCGGTGTGTCAGATGTTTAGTTACTCCTCTGCCTCCTTTAGCGGTAATGGTACATGTAATAAGTGTAGTTTATTTATAGACATGGAGGCGAGGCTCAGTGAGTTAGAAGTCCGGCTCCGCACCCTGGTAGATCAGTCTTTAGCTACTGTAGCTAGCCAGTCCCCGGTAGTCGGTGCGGAACGGCCTGAGTTAGCCTCTGGTAGCCGTCCTCCGGCATCCCCTGTGCAGCCAGGAAAGGGGGGCTGGGTGACTGTCCGAAGGAGGAATAGTAAGCATTCAAAGTCCACGGGGCATCATCAACCTGTTCACGTTTCTAACAGATTTTCCCCACTCAGCGACACACCCGCTGAGAAACCAACTCTGATCATTGGCAGCTCCATTTTGAGAAACGTGAATTTAGCGAAGCCAGCGGCCATAGTTAAGTGCATCCCTGGGGCCAGAGCGGGCGACATTGAGTCTTATTTGAAACTGCTGGCTAAGGATAAACGTAAATACAGTAAGATTGTTATTCACGTCGGCGGTAATGACTCCCGGTTACGCCAATCGGAGGTCACTAAGATTAATGTTGAGTCGGTGTGTACATATGCAAAAACAATGTCGGACACCGTAGTTTTCTCTGGACCCCTGCCAAATCTGACCAGTGATGACATGTATAGCCGCATGTCGTCATTCCGCCGCTGGTTGTCGAGGTGGTGTCCAGCAAACGATGTGGGCTTTGTTGATCATTGGCAGACTTTCTGGGGAAGACCTGGTCTGATCCGGAGAGACGGCATCCATCCCACTTGGGAAGGAGCAGCTCTCATTTCTAGAAATCTGGCCAAGTTTATTAGTGGACCAAATCCATGACAACCCAGAGTTGAGACCAGGAGGCAGAGTCGCAGTTTAACACACTTCTCTGCCCTTCTTTTTCAGCAGTTACCCACCCAAAACCCTACGCAGAGTCGCAGTCTAACACACTTCTCTGCTCCTCCATTTCAGGAGTTACTTAGTGAAAACCTATAGTGACGGTGTCTGTCCCCCGACCATCGAAATTATTTAAAAAGGTAAACAGAAGAGGAGCTGTGCATAAAAACCTTATAAAAATTAAAACCACAAGAGCAATAGTGCAAACAATAGGAGAGTTAAATGTGGACTCTTAAACATCAGATCTCTCTCTTCTAAAGGTGTACTAGTAAATGAACTAATATCAGATTATGATATTGATTTATTTGGTCTTACTGAAACCTGGCTGGGTGATGGAGAATATGTTAGCCTAAATGAATCCACCCCTCCCAGTCATATTAATACTCACATTCCTCGAGGCACAGGCCGAGGAGGTGGAGTTGCAGCTATCTTCGACTCTAGCCTATTAATCAGCTCTAAACCTAAACTAAACTATAACTCATTTGAAAGTCTTGTTCTTAGTCTTTCGCACCCAAGTTGGAAATCACTGCAACCAATTCTTTTTGTTATAGTGTACCGAGCACCTGGCCCGTATTCTGAATTCTTATCTGAATTTGCAGAGTTTTTGTCAACTTTAGTCCTTAAAACGGACAAAGTTATTATTGTAGGGGATTTTAATATTCATGTAGATGTTGAGAATGACAGCTTCAGTACTGCGTTTATCTCTTTGTTAGATTCCATCGGCTTCTCTCAGAGTGTTCATGAACCGACTCACTGTTTTAACCACACCCTTGACCTTGTTTTGGTGTATGGTATTGAAATTGAACATTTAGTGGTGTTCCCACAGAATCCCTCTTTATCCGACCACTGTTTGATAACTTTTGAGTTTGTATTGCTGAACTACTCGCCATTGGGCAAAAATTTCTATACAAGATGTCTGTCTGATAGTGCTATAGCTAAATTTAAGGATGCGATTCCATCAGCTCTAAATACATTATCTAGTCACAAAGTAACGGAGGACTCCTATGCTAATTTCAGTCCCTCCCAAATCGATCATCTTGTTGATAGTGCTGCAGCTCGCTGCGAATGACACTCGACTCTGTAGCCCCTCTAAAAAAGAAAATACTAAAACAAAGACGGTTAGCTCCATGGTATAATACTGAAACTCGCAAATTAAAGCAAATATCACGGAAACTTGAGAGGAATTGGCGTTCCACCAAAGTGGAAAATTCTCGTTTAATTTGGCAAGATAGTCTTAAAACTTATAGGAAGGCCCTCCGTAATGCCAGAGCAGCGTACTACTCGTCATTAATAGAGGAAAATAGGAACAACCCCAGGTTTCTTTTCAGCACTGTAGCCAGGCTGACAGAGAGTCACAGCTCTATTGAGCCAAGTATTCCCATAGCTCTCAGTAGTTACGACTTCATGAGCTTCTTTAATGATAAAATTCTAGCTATTAGAGACAAAATTCACCAAGACCTGCCCTCAACTGGCACCGACTTATCTCTAACTCAGGAACCTTAGAAACAGCTGTAGAACCAGATACATGTTTAGACTGTTTTGCTTCCCTCAATCTTTACCAACTAACTTCAATAATTTCTTCATCTAAACCATCAACCTGCCTCTTAGACCCCATCCCGACTAGGCTGCTTAAAGATGTTTTACCCTTAGTCAGCACCTCTATACTAGATATGATCAATCTATCTTTATCAACAGGCTATGTACCACAGTACTTTAAAGTAGCTGTAATTAAACCTCTTCTGAAAAAGCCCAAACTTGATCCGGATGTTTTATCAAACTATAGACCTATATCTAACCTTCCATTTCTCTCTAAGGTTCTGGAGAAAGCAGTTGCTAAACAGCTGTGTGACTTTCTACAGAGCAATAGTTTATTTGAGGATTTTCAGTCAGGATTTAGAGCTCATCATAGCACAGAGACAGCACTGGTGAAAATTACTAATGACCTCCTTATTGCATCAGACAAAGGACTTGTCTCTGTACTGGTTTTATTAGATCTTAGTGCTGCATTTGATACCATTGACCATCAGATCCTATTGCAGAGACTGGAATATTTCATTGGCATTAAAGGAACCGCTCTAAGCTGGTTTAAGTCCTATTTATCAGATCGATTTCAGTTTGTACATGTTAACGATGAGTCCTCCATGCACGCCAAAGTTACTCATGGAGTTCCTCAAGGATCTGTCCTTGGACCAATCCTCTTCACTTTATATATGCTTCCTTTAGGCAATATTATCAGGAAACATTCCATAAGCTTTCATTGTTATGCAGATGATACTCAGTTATATCTATCGATCAAGCCAGATGAAACTCATCAGTTAGCTAAACTTCAAATGTGCCTTCAGGATGTTAAAACCTGGATGAGCTGTAATTTTCTTATGTTAAACTCAGATAAAACTGAAGTTATTGTTCTGGGGCCTAAGCACCTCCGTGACGCATTATCTAAAGATATAGTTTCCCTGGATGGCATCGCCTTGGCCTCCAGCACCACTGTGAGGAATCTTGGAGTTATCTTTGATCAGGACATGTCGTTTAAGTCCCACATTAAGCAAATTTCAAGGACCGCCTTTTTTCACCTACGTAATATTGCGAAAATCAGGAACATCCTGTCTAAAAATGATGCAGAAAAACTAGTCCATGCATTTGTTACTTCTAGGCTGGATTACTGCAATTCCTTATTATCAGGCTGCTCGAAAAAGTCCATTAAGACTCTTCAGCTGATCCAGAATGCTGCAGCACGTGTTCTGACAGGAACCAGGAAAAGAGATCACATTTCTCCTGTTTTAGCTTCTTTGCATTGGCTTCCAGTAAAATCCAGAATAGAATTTAAAATCATTCTTCTTACCTACAAAGCTCTTAATGGTCAGGCACCATCTTATCTTAAAGAGCTCATAGTACCTTACTACCCCACCAGAGCACTGCGCTCCCAGAATGCAGGGTTACTTGTGGTTCCTAGAGTCTCCAAAAGTAGACTAGGAGCCAGAGCGTTCAGCTATCAAGCTCCTCTCCTGTGGAACCAGGTTCCAGTTTGGGTTCAGGAGGCAGACACCATCTCCACATTTAAGAGTAGGCTTAAGACTTTCCTCTTTGATAAAGCTTATAGTTAGGGCTGGCTCAGGTAGTCCTGAACCATCCCTTAGTTATGCTGCTATAGGCCTAGACTGCCGGGGGATTTCCCATGATGCACTGAGCTCCTCTCTCCTCTACTTTCTCTCCCTCTGTATGCAACCTTATCCCATTATTGCATGTTACTAACACAACTTCTCCCCTTTCTGGTAGTCTTGTGCTTTCTCGTCCCTCTCCTCTCTCCTCCTATCACTTCCTGCAGGTTTTCTGGCTCTGGAGCTGTGGAGTCTGGATCTGTGGCTGCGGGTCGCCTGCTGCCCCCGTGTTCCTGCTCGACACCCTCTACTGCAACGACTATTGTTGCTAGTCTTATTGTTATTATAATCATTAACATTACGATGGTTACCATTAACACTATTATAAATATCTGTACCATTTTTCATTTAGTTTATAGCAACATTACCTTCGCTGTCTGTACCTCTGTGTGTATATTGTGTAGGCTGCCTCCCTCCCCTCTCTCTCTCCTTACATCCCTCTCTCTCTCTCTCTCTCTCTTTCTCTCTCTCTCTCTTTCACTCTCTTTCTTTCTCTCTCTTTCTCTCTCTCTCTCTCTCTCACCCCAACCGGTCGAGGCAGATGGCCGCCCACCCTGAGCCATGGTTCTGCTCGAGGTTTCTGCCTCTTAAAAGGAAGTTTTTCCTTGCCTCTGTCGCCTAGTGCTTGCTCTTGGTGGGAACTGTTGGGCTTCTGTAAATATCATCACAGAGTACGGTCTAGACCTGCTCTTTTATGAAAAGCGCTGTGAGATAACTGTTGTTGTGATTTGGCGCTATATAAATAAAATTGAATTGAATTGAATTGAATTAAATTATACTGAGCACTAATGACTCATCAAAAAAGAATCATTAGCAGATGCATTTTATACTGCCAATTATTGCTCTCAGATACTTGTTCAGATATTATTCATTGGCCGTGTAACTCATTCAGATGTTGTTAGAAGGAGCTTTGCAGAACAAAATGCGCACAGAGATATAAAAAAAATAATATATATAATAGGAAACAAAGTAGATTACAATATAGCTGCAAGCAGAAACCAACCAAAAGTGCACCAAGCACTTATCAACCCACAAGTTTGTCTACCCACTGAGCAATTTTGGTAATAACAGGAGAAAGCACTGCAGAGAAATATCCCGCTTCCTGTTTGTCTTAATGCGGCAAAGTCTTGTCACAGCAAACGGTCCACAAAAACTGACACGAGCATTTCTGACAGATCTGTGCACTTCATACACAACTAACTGTACACTCACTATGACGACTACTTACAGCAACTGATAAGCCTGTCTTCAGTTTAACTCATGAGAAAGTCAGCTACTGTAAACAATTCATGTGTTTATACTTCAGGGGTACAGTCATTTCTTATTACAAATACTTCACTACTGCAAAAATAAATGAGGTGGATATACAAAAAATTTGTACAGCTAAAGGCTTGTGCAGACTACACAACTTTCAGCATCAGCCGATTGCCGTGCTGTTCACTCTACACAACTTGCAGTCTTGTGACGGGAGTCTTGAAGTTGTTGTGGCGTTCACACTACGTGACTGATCAGTGACAGAGGCTCACACACTACACGAGCTGAAAGCGGCTGTGTCGTCCGACACTGGTCTCCAAACCACGTTTTGTCAAGAAATGTGAAACGGGAATGACGTGAACCTACACACGAAACAGCTGTTGTTTGTTATTATAAAGATAGAAATTATAAAGACAAAGAATATGGGTGAAAGAATGGATTAGCAAATGCAGGTAGCAGGGATTGTCTCAGCTACAGAGAGAGCTAGAGGTGAGTAAAAAGTGTTTTGCAGTGAAAAAGTAGCTGCCTGCTCTGCCAGCTGCATGCTCTCATTGGCTGGATGTGGATGTCGAGTCGGCTGACTCCAGATATTTGGCATGCTAGATATCGGCGATGTGTCAGAACTGTGTCGGGGAGCCGTTCTGATGCGTCATTGAGTAGTTCAGATGTAACGACTGGCGACTGCAGATCAATCTGTTGGGCTTGCCGAGTGGCAAATCCGGCTAAAAATCGTGTAGTGTGAACTAGGCTTAATGTAGATTTAAGGTTAAAATAGGTGTTAAAATTGAACTTTAAACTGATGAACAGAGAGGATTTTTTATTTTTCAAATTCATTGGAGGATTAAAAGTTCTGTTGATAAACCATGAGGCATCCAATTTCTTTATGTAGTATTCACATGAGGTTTTGTTGAGAATAGGCCTTTTTTAAGACATTTTGACATGTCACAGTAGCAAGAGCACAGGCGTAAATAATAAAAACGTCCTAGCATTGTTCATGCTGGCTCACTGTCACTGCTTACTTGTACTCTAGAACAGAAAGGTATTGTTTATGTTTTTAGTAACACCTGTGCTTCTCCTATTATGACAAGACAAAATGTCTGGAAAAAAAAACTTTCGATATCTTACCTGTGTCAATGATTGTTGGCCACGTTTTAATGTTCACAGAGGCAGCAGCGTCTTTGGAACGAAGAGTCCTCATGAGATTTTGAGTGGTAAGAATACACGCAGCTTTACTGACCTGGTAACAAAACATCACCAGCATGATTCATCTGAACAGGAGAAGCTGCTACAAATTGGTGAAAATTAAATGAATGACAAACAGCTGTAAACACACAACACAATGTATCTATGGCCCAACTGAGACTGGATTTTTGACAATAAAAAAAACAACGGATTTTTAAAAACAACAACTAAAAACTATTAGGATTTAAATGAATTAACACACATGTATGTACTCACAAACTCATGAACACACAATAACACACGTGCAAAAGAGCACACACACTTACATCAATAATCATGCGGACAGTTGGCAGCGTGGCTGCCAGGTTCTGAGGATGCGGAGGTCTGACGTTTACGGGAACACATCCAGCATAGAGACAGCCGTAGAAGGCGGCTATCAAATCAATGCCTGAGAGAAAGATGGAGGCCAAAGGCGGAGTTAAAAAAGAGAGAAAACTGTCCTTGTCTCACAATAATTAATACAGAATAATTAATTAATATGTAGACACAGATACCAGAGACAGGACCCACCAGGAGGATAGAGCAGCACTACGTTCTCTCCAGTGTTGATGCTGCCTTTCTCAGTAAGCGCTGCAGCTATCTTCTCTGCTCGCTTGTGAAGCTGGACACAGGTCGCTGTGCCCACTGTTACACCCTGAATAATGCACAGAGGAAGACATACAAGGTCACCAGAAACACAAGGTGTAATTTAAGTAGCAATAGCTTGTGTATTACATTGCAAGTATATACACATTTTATGTACTTGGTATATATATAAAATATGTGGTACCTTGGCATTAAGAAGGACAAAGAGGACATGATCTGGGTCTGTCTGTGCCCTCCAGTGTAGAGCCTCTGACAGATACTGGTGCTGAAAAACAAAGAAAAAAAAATTACATGTACAGTACTGTACATCTGAGGGTTTGATAATCTGTATACAATTTTACAAACACAACCATGGAGGGCGTATACAGGGAGGAGCTTTGTACTGATGGAAGACTTAAATAAAACAACACAAAGTGATGCTCAGAGACTGCATGTCTCATTAGACAGCTGTCTGGCATAAATTATCTCATGCCAACGTGCAAACAATTTATACCACATACTCAGAGCCAATTGTGCTCTTAAAATAATGAACAATAACTTAGGATGTGAAAGGTACGTCTGCAGTAAAACAAGGGAAAGCTACAGAAGGTGCATTTCTTGTAACAGATTTTAAAACATGCACTTTTTTTTGCTTATGTCACATTTTAACACACAAAATAAAACCAAAGTACAATATACATTAGAGCATGGCGACAATAAAGACAAGGTGTTGGGAAGATGCCATAAGGGGGCCATAATTCTTACCATCACAGTGGGCCACATACAGAGCTACATCCAGAGAGAGACGGGAGCAGAAAGAGAGAAGAGTCCAAATTTTTTTTTAATCTATAAAACTGGGACTGGGCCATTGTTACACTGGCAGTGGAAAGTCTTCAAAACAAACTATTTACCATCATAACACATTGTGAGCATTGGTGCACACATTTCCTGCTGCTTCTGAATGACATGCTTAGGCTCTTTTGAAAACAGTGTGGAATATGGTTATACAGAGTTACAGGTAATACGGAGGTAGTGGCAGGTTGAAAGTGAGAGTTACAGCATTCATGGTCACACTACCTTTCGGACAAGATCCTGGTCTTCGATCATGCCGAGGTCCCTGCCTGCGGCCTGGGCAATCCTCTTCCCTGCCACCAGGTTGCCCACCATCACGGATGCAGGACCTACGCCAACTACAAGAAAAAATGAGTGTGAGAGAGAGATGAGTGTAATACAGTATCATTTATACAGCAGCCCTCATAGGTTTAACCAAAGAGACATTAGTCTGGAAAGTAAAACATTTAAACAGCATTACTAGTTTGGGTAAGATAGAGGTCTGCCAATAAAACTAATCCTGTGAGAATACAAAGACTGCAGTATAAAAACTGCATTAAATATAATACTGTATGTGTTTAAGTACACAGATTATGGAAATGGAATGAGGAGTGATGCGTGACTGTATTCAGTATTTTGGTGAAAATGTGCAGTTTGTATAATGAGTAATAATGTTATACTATACTTAAATCTGCATGTTACAACTTTCATGTAAGTCTGCAGTGTAGCAGGGGCACAGCAGTCTTTGTTTTATAATGGTTAAGGGGGACGCAAGGAGCCCTGTGAAAATAAGTTATTATAACTTGTAGTGTTTTTATCCTGTGTCGTGCTTTAATTTTACACTAAAACACTTTGTTCATGTTATATGTTGCTTATAGGTTGTTCTATTTTGTTTCATTTTGGGGTTTCTCTGCATGTCATGTTTTTTCAAATTGGATGGATTTTGGTGATATTTGTGTGTCATGTGTTTTTTGTTTTATGACAGATTAAAAACAAACCCTTGTGTGACATTTGCTCAACTTCGCCACAGCCAGAGCCAACACGGGAGAAATATCCTTTTCCCAAAACCAGAAACTCTAATGAAATTGTTACGTAACCCCACAACCAGGCTCTTATTTTACAAAACACTTTATATCCTGACTGACTTGCAGAACTGTCAGCAGCTCCTCTTATCTTTGCCGTCATGGTCAGTCCTTTTTTTTTACCTTAACCATAAAAGATCTTAATACACGTTTCACAAGCCTGTTTTACCAGATATGCATCACCTACCAGGCTGCTTCTGGCGGGGCTTGGGCAGGTTGGTGACACAGGTATGGGGACACATCAGGATGTTGCAGGGGTGCAGGTTGCCGTCTAAGAAGAACTGCTTGGTGTCAGAGATATGGATGCCACCCAGGGGTGTTTTAGGTAAGGTGTTGGCCGGGACAAGAGCTAGACAGTAGAGGCCCACCTGATGGATACTGTCGATAGCCTACAGAGGAAATCAAACATCGAGACATGGTTGGTTGAGCAGTAAAATTGTGTGAAAAAATGAGTTATACACTAAAGGAATATTCTGAGTAGTTAAAGTAACTTAACCTCTGCTGACAAAATGGTGATTTTTGTCTCTATATTATTACAGACACATTGAATGGAAATCTTTAACATCGCAGTGTAGTAGTACTGACTGAACATGATTTAGAGTATTATTTTACACACAAAAGAAGTACTGCACACCGCTCCATGTGGTTTGCCTCACATAAACAAAACATTTGGAAGGAGACGATGAGGCGATTCACCTGAAGCACTCGGCTCATCCACTGGAAACTGTCCTCCTCGCTGGCGTCTGGCCTCTGCTCCGCCACAATCACGACCCTCTCGTCATAGAACACCGTGACTGAAAACACAGTGATCCTGACACACACACACAGAAACACACACAGATATGTTAGAGATTATTCAGAGGATATGGAAATCACAAGCAGTTTAAATGTTGTTTATACGTCAACATTACATGCCATTTTGGGGCCTGCTGTGCTTCCTTTGTGCCACCAGATGTCAGTAGTGAAAATTAGTATTCACACTTCAACAGAGAAGCGCATCATTTTTGTGTGAAGAAGAATTCGGTGATCTCCTCACCTTCCACGGTACACAGTCTTGACTGGCTCCACGGCAAGAGCGGTGGCCACCAGGTCATCAGCGTTGTGCCTCCGTCCGCTCACCATCAGCAGGCCCTCAATCTTCCCCACCACAAAGATCAGACTGCCCTGCACAGAGCGGGGGCACACACAGCAGGGTCATTATACTGTTAAGTATACAGACCCATTCAAAGACAGAAAGAGACGGATGGTTTCCAGGAAGGCTCAAGTTACCACAGATGTTGTACTGTAATGAAACAGTCCTACTTACTGGGCCAACAAACCCCAAGAGTCCTGACCGCACAAATGGAATCTCTCCAATGGGAACTCCATTAGCATTAACCGGTATCACCTGAACATGAGGATACACAGACAGAAAGGATGGCAATACACCACAAAAAGTGAATTAATTAAGTTTCTAATTTATGAGATTGTTGCAGCAGCACAGGCAGATTGTGGGTGTAACTCCACTTTCATACCTCAAAGGTGTTTTTGGTGACTCCAGGCAGGCCGTAGTACATGTTGCCTCCAGCACGGGAGTTTACTATTATCTCTCCTATCTCATCTGTTTTACACAACTGAGGAGGCCCGTCTGCCTTTACAATGCACATCAGAGCTGGAGACACACAAAGGTAGCATTTAGAAAACATGGACTTCATAACTTAAAGGTATATACTACATATGAGAGCAAAGATCTATAGTTGCACTTTTAAAACGTTTATTCTTTCTCTAGCTGTTGAGGCTGGCACATAAAAAAATATTCAGGAGGAATAAAGATTGTGTGAGCTGTGTGATTTCAGAGAAATGGAAAGAGTCATTTTCTTCTGGAGTATTGATACTATGATAGAAGTGTATCAATTTTTAATGACATGGTTTGACAAAACCATGAAATATTATGGTGTAGAGACAATCAAAAATTTTAATGGTTATTTAATTTTGAGGTGTGAGTTACTTACAAATGTCAGCAGACAAGATGGACCATTTAATTAGCCTTTATTTGGAGTTTCAGTATGGCTATAAATGTATGATTATGTTTAATGAGTAATTTAGTAATTTTGTTGTAGACATGAAGTGGAGTGGGAGTGTTGTGGCACGTAGTTGTATACATGACACTGTAATAAAAAAACAAGGAATTGTATATATTTTACATTACTATTAAACATTTTCCAAAGCATATCATATTTTTTATTCCCAGCCTTCAACATTTATGCAAGAATAAAATGGAAATCAACTTGCAGATATCTGACTTTCTTTTGAGATCCATCACAGGAAATATTTAGCATTTCATTTTTTTGCCAAAGTTATCTCATCATCTTGTGTTAATGCAGTAGAGAGCGTTTTCTTGTTGGTGTGTTCACGTGCTTGAAGAAAGCTCCAACAAATCTCTGATTTGAGAGTTGGCTTCAACGCACCACTCTTTCCTGTGTTCCTAATCAATCCTTTCCACAAACATTCATGTTTGCTTAGTCGGCTTACAATTCTAACATACTTTAAGTCATGAATGTGTTTTTTCTTTTTTGCCAGCCAACTCTTTTTTTGCCTACAAGCACTTGTCTGTCATTTGTTTTTCATGCGACTTGTTTATCTTTCCTTCTATCCTCACCTCCAGGCATGACGTGCCCCACATCTTGTACAGTCAGGGCGGAGTTCTTGTCCTCTGTGTTGACCCTGATGACACCGTGGCTCAGGCCACCCATGGAAAGAATGGCACGGGCAGGGAGGGGTGCGCCAGGGACTCCCGGTCTACACAGGAGAGAGTTCACTCAAACATGAATATTTCCATCCATCCCATCTGTTCTCACAGATCTGCCCACCTGCCCACGTCCACCACCACATACAATCTTACCCTGATAGAGCAGTAAATATAAAAATCAACCATGAGTGAAGCAGTGTGCCATGTTTTTCTTTGTCAGCTTTTATTATTCATCACTGGATTCAAATTGGGGATGTGATAGTGGGAAGGAGGGAGAAATGGGAGGTAGGTGGTAATAGAGAGTTTGGGAAAAAATCCTACATAAAAATGGAATATGCGTTAGTGACATACCGGCGTATAGCTACTGTCATGGCCTCAGGGGAGGTAGCACATGGACAGATAACCTCAGGTTTCAGCCCGTGGGACTGAAACACGTTCAGGAAGGCATCACAAGAAGACACCGACCCTAGATCAGAAAAAGATAAGGGATTCAAAATATTAAATCTAATTTGTGTGGTTTGAAAGCCCCTAGTTTTACAAAGCTGGGGGTCATGAAGTACTCACAGGGGTTAGCACCATCAGCAACAATCAGCATCCGTAATGAAGCCAGACTGGTGTCTCTCTGGTCCCGATGAGCCATCATGGCCCAGTGTAGATCACGGCACTTCACCAAAGCTATACGAGCTGCACGAGAGTAAACATGTCGTCATGTTATACATTCAGTTTTTTTGTATGGCCTTACTCAAGCTGAGGGATCAGTAAATTTACCTTTGTGGATGTGGACCCTCTGTACCCAGGAGAGGGGACAAGCCTTCATTACAGCATAGGGAACACTGATAGTGTGTATTCTGTTCATCACTGCCTGGAAACCAACAAAACCTGATTAAGCAGCTAATACAGTATAATAATCATGACAAAAACCCCACGTTGGGCAATTCTACTAAATCATGTTAAAGACGCCCCAACTTTCAACAGAATCTGATCTAATAGCTAAAAGTGTAATGCTTTGTTTATTTTATCGTACCATTATAAATGATGTAAATTGTTAATGAATTCAATAAAGACATTTCTAAAAGGTAAATCAGACATAATGTGGGTGGAATAAACAAACAAAATCATATCTTTTCAAAGTATACAAAATAGAGACAGAGACTAAAAAAGAAATGATACAAAAGTTACACAAGCTAGATAACATAATGTGAGCAACAGATCAACATGTGGTAAATATCTGTACAGGGCTGGGCGATATGGCCAAAAATGTTATCATGATAAAAACATTTCATATAATTCGATATTTATAATTATCACAATAAATGTTAAATTATTATTATTATTATTATTATATATTATTATTATTATTATATTAATTATATTATTTATTTTCAGTTTAAAGGCTGGTTTTGTTTTATTTAATTATTTTCTCAGTGGATCTCTTCACAAATCTGAAACAGAATATTCAAAACAATTATGATTTTTTTAAATGATTTATAAAATTTGATACAATTAGTTAAAATCTTTTTTCAGTTCCTTTTCCTCAACAAAATAAACATCTTAACAGAAAAATGGAGTGCTAATAAAACATGTATCGAACATTTGTTATATTGTTATTAAGGAAAATTAAATCGTGATAATTATCATTACTGTTTTATTGCCCAGCCCCATGTATCTAATAAGAATAATGCATAAGGGACCAATGGAAATAAAACAACTTAAAACAGCTTTAATTCTGAAAAAAGTACTGTATCAAGTCCCAAAAAACCATGGGATTTTTCACATGTCCATCATGGAATCCATGAAGTTTTTATAATTTGGACATTTGGTCAATTTACCAGATACTTGATGAGAACACAGACACTAAAATTCCCCTTTCTTCTCTGTTGTGGTGCAACTATCATCATTTAAAACCATTTTGAAAGCAAAAATGGATTTGTATTATTGCACACGTGCATATGCACTTACTGTGAGAACTCCATGCCATAGGCCCATATCCTTTTTAAAGTCCAGGACATTCACTAAAGTTTCCCCTAAAGTGAAGAAAGACAGAAGTGTCTTCAGACTTATAACAGCCGTGTTGATGAAGAAACCTTCAGATGACAGATGATGACGACACTCTGGGTCTTTACTCACCCTCACAGTAGTTGCAGGCCTGGGTCAGTGCTTGACAGTGGGTCAACATGGCTACTTTAGACACAGCCACACCCACTACTGTGCCATCTTTACTCGCCTTGTACTAAACAGAGAGCAAACACCGGACAGACATATAAAATCGCAACACTTGACTTTTCAAACCACATCAGGACGCAATAATACTCAGGTTTTAATGTTCCCAAATCAAGTTCTGTTTTTATTGTGTGCTAAACAACAGCCAGTTATACAAGATAGTCTCATGAAAAGCAGTAACTGCAGTACCTCTATGTATGCAGGGTCAGTGTTGGCAGTGGGGATGTGCGGCTGCCAGTCTTTGGAAGGCTTGGTCAGGTATTTTGAGTCTGTCACCACCCACTTAAGTCGAGGCCAGCCTATCAGAGAAAAGCATCAGTAAAAGTAAAGTCAAGTAATATCAAGGAGGCTTCATCATCCATTCTTCATTAAAACACAGAGCACATTGTACCCTCCCTGCGTAACAACTTTGTATTACGGAAGTTGATCTGAGATTTAGCCATTATATGTTTTCCTTTCAGCAATATTTCATAAAAGACTATGGTATTTTTAAAGGAATATGTCTAATTGTTCAAATAAAGTTCAATCATTCCTGAAAGAGCTCACTGACCTTTAAATTGCAGTATTTCCCCAGTGGGTGTCTTGGGTAAACCCTTCAGACAGATCTCACTTGTCAGAGCCAGACCAACACCACAGCTTCCGAGCAGAAACCCCACCTGGCTGATACCTGCATCCTAAAAACACACACATTCATAGTTAAACAGAAAAGGAAAAACTCTCTATGTAGTCACAAAATGTTCCTCTGTGGGTTTTCTTACCTTGCGAGACAGTGGTACTTCAATAGGTACAGGTATAACTTCAGCCAGGAGGCAGCCGTAGAAGGCCACCCAGAACATCCCAGGGTCACTGTTGGGGTACACCAGCGCCACCTACCAAGACATTGAACTTTACATTTAGGATTGTTTTACATTGGATTATAAAGAAGAAAAATCTTAATGGATATAAACGCTGGTGGTAAAATGTTACATTGTTACTAACAATAGTAACAAGAACTACAGGTCTAATGCCGAGCTAGCAACTCTGTGAGTTTGTACTACACAGGTGCTTTAAGCTAAATGCTAACATCAGCATGGGCGACTGTGACTCAGGAGGTAGAGCGGGTTGCCCGTTAATCAGAAGGTCAGTAGTTCAATACCCAGCTCCTTCAGACTGCATGTGAATGGTGAATGCAGATTTAGTGTAAAAGCGCTTTGCGTGGCTATACAAATACGGAGCATTTACATTTAACATGCTCACAATGATATATATATTTTGGAGGTACATACGTATTAGATCAATTGAAATTTTGACCTGACAAGAGGAAAAGTCAGGAGATCACTAAAGTCAAGAGGAGTCATCTTAGCACTATGGATGGCTGTAGAAAATTTCATGGCAATCCACTTTGTTGAAATAAAAATAATGTAATTTCATTTAGTTTTTAGTCCCGTCTTTCACAGATAATTCAAGTCAACAATAATAAATCACTGCTGGAGCAGTTGCACAAAGACACATCATTGGGAGAGAAGTTGGAAATATACAGGTTTAAATCTCGTTTCTGCAAATATTTCAAAATTAATTTGTCAGGGTGACACTACCATTGTTATATGCATGTTGTGTGTGAGTCTGCTTTCAGCGTGTCCGCTCTCTCACCCTGTCTCCAGGTTTGAGGATTTGTTCATTCTTGGCGCCCAGCTTGTTCAGGAGGGTGTACGCCAGCTTCACGCTGCGACTCCACAGCTTCCCTAACAGACAGAAGGTGGAGTGGGGACGAGGGAGTAAGGAGAGAAGGTTATATGTCTTACCTCTGCCAAAAATCCCATGTCACAGAGTACACACATCTTTCTATTGTCCAGATGAACTCTTGACATGAACTCCTGAAATAGCTCTCAACACAGCGTAGTACCTTTAACTAACTACCAGCAGCTGTATGTTACTGCTACTGATTTTACACCATAAACATCCTTCCAGGCTGCATATTAATAGTCCTGTGTCTCACCATAAGTCAGTGTGTAGAGCGGTTTGCCCGTGATATCAAGAGCAGTGAGGGCGGGGCTCTTCCCCTGAGTGGCCCCCCAGCGGGCCAACGCTGCCTGCAGGGCTGGGGGCCAGTTACTGACCACTCCCAAAGGCTCCCCTTTCACTGGGATGATCTGACGGCCCTCTGGCTTCGGTGTGTTGGGGTCCACCTGGGGCACTGTGAGAGAGAGAGAGAGAGAGCGCAGAACATTTTTGGGTATATTACAGATTAATGACATCCAAACGTACCAAGTATACAACCAAATATACTTTATAATGAGGCACATTTTATTAGTTGCAACTGATTACTTTATTAATGGTTAATAGTTTAGCATTTACTAACGGTTTATAGATCAGACATATCCAGGTTGTGAAAAATGCCTTTGACTGGTTGGACTTTTTTTACTACAATCCATTTATTAACAACTTATTAACATTTACAGCTGCCAACTTGATGATTTAAATTGCAGTGTTACCAAACAGTAGGAGAAACACTGGCCAAACTAACGACCCAAAACTTAACGGCTTATAACTTATCTATAAAGTATCAGTACTTTATGTATTATTACACAATGCTGCAGTACGCAAACTCAGTTTGTAATATTTTTTGTGATGTAGTACAGAAATTACAACAGAAATTTAAGCGGCGTATTGGGAACACAGTGGTTAGAGTTGTTTTTATGAAGCGGTGTACCTTCTACGATCTCCTCTGAGTCGTCTGTGAAGAACTCACTGAGCGGCGGCCTCTTGGGCCTCTTCAGGGTGTTGAGCAGCTGCTGGATCTTAGTGGACACTCTGCTGTTCACAGGAACTCCTACAGCCAGGATGAAGGAGGAGAGGGGCGGTGGCAGGGCAAACACACAGTCACACACACTCCGTGGCTCATCCATCCAGTGATACAACACTACACGTTTAAACTTCTTACCATCTCATACTGTCTGCTGCTCTTTATCCCATATCACAAGAGACTCTATTTTTGTAGATTGAATTATTTGTCTTGAATTGATTCTAATGTCTTTTGGGAAGGAAAAGCAGCACACGTAGGTGGCAACAACACAAGGAAAACACGGTGTGAACTGGGGTAGAGGTTGTTTCTTTTGGTTTGGGATCACACGTGAGGATTCACTCTGTGCGTGGATGTTGTTGGTGTTGCATTTATTTCTATAATCATTCATTACAAACAGGAGGGAGAGTTAAGGGTACAACAACAAACACAGGAGGCTATGGACATTATTTATATATTAAGGAGTTTCCTTACTCTGGATATTACCTCTTCCTATTAGCCAGTCAAATAAACATGTGACAGGGTGGAGAAAGATCAAGAAGAAAAGAAAGCAGTAAAGTCTGATTAACGATATGTCATGTTTGGTGGTCACTTATTTTGGAGCGAGAAGAGTGCGAGTGGAGTCAGACAGAGGCTCCTATAGAGACATGCAAACAAATGCAAATGTTATATGGTGTAGTCGTTACCATCCGCAGTCTCCATCATGCTTGAGCGGCTCTGCCCGCGGCTCATCCCTCGGACCACGGCGTTAGAGGGCAGGTCCACACGCGACCCTCTGGATGGAGGGGCCACAGCTGTCACATCTGGAGGGGGGGCGCTGTTTTCTGAGGGGGCTGCAAGGGGAAGAAAGGGAGGACAGTCTGAACGATGCCCTCCTGGTTTCAGCTGGATTTTTAATTACAAGGACTGAAGCGTAACAAAGACCAACACACAGTAGGTATCATTCTAGGCAGAATTTAAATGCAGTCAAAATGTAAAGATATTTGAATATGAATCCTTTCAGTGGGACAGCTCGCTAGATAACAATACTCCATTAGTTTAAAAAGCAGGTGTAACTTTTTATTTAGTAAAACGAAAAGTGTAGCTATGAATGATTGCATTTAACATTTAAAATTCTATTATTTAACATTTAAAATTTTATTATATGAACTTTTTGGAATATTGTCTATGATTATTAAGTCTGAATTTTGCCACTTTCAGTTAAGTCTGTAATATACTTCAGGCACAGCAGTTGTTTTCATGGTTTTGGGCAAACCAGAGCCACTATGGAAATAAGTTATGTTTACTTTTAGTGGATTTATCCTGTGTCATGCTTCAGGTTCATGCATAGCATCTGGTTTGTGTTTAATTGTGATGTTTTTTGTTTACGGTGTTGTTATCATTATTACTTTTTTTTATTAATTCTTTTAACTTCAACTTTTTCACTCTAAATGGCAACCGAGCCCTGTTAGTTAATGAAAGTCACAAGATGTAGGTGAAAGCTCTGGAAGAAATCTCTTAAGAGCATCTTGAGTTAAGATTTTTGTCCAAGGTCAAGATTGAACCTTAAAGCTCCACATCGACTTCTGAACACATTTTGTCTGTGGACTGATAAGTACATGGGTATAACAGTTAATAAATGCTTCATTACACACTGTAAGGATTTGTTAGTGTGTAATCATACATCAATACATATGATTACAGCTTCATATAATACTGTGTTGTCAATCATTCATTAACTGTTTATACACCAGTTATGAATGCTTCATAGGAGAAGTTCCAATTGTTGAAATAAATGTATTATTAACACTTTATTTGCTTACATATACACTACGGTGAGTTATTAACTATTGTTTCAGTATTTATATACTGCTTATAAATGCTAAATGGGGGATTATGGTTAAATGTAATCGTCACTGTCTGAATGTAGTTATGTCCCTTTTCATGAACTATTATACAAAAAGTTTAGCTCTTGATAGAAGAATAACACCAACAAGCACCAGAATATGCCAGTATTCCCTGTAATAACAAGTTAATTTTGGACAAACCTAATAAACCCAACAACACCAGTCGTGTCCATGAATATTTTACCCCAGACAAAAATCAGTCGAGTGCCTCACCAATGCGACTGTGAGCCAGCATGTCCGTCACAGCTGCGGTGTGGGGCTGCTCATGCGGCTGGTGGTGAGGCTGATACAGAGGTTGGTACTGCGGCTTGTACTGGAGCTGAGGCTGAGGCTGAGGCTGGCTCTGAGGCTGCGGCTTGGCCTCTCCGTGGGACAAGGTGGAGGAGGCCGAAGAGGAGGTGGAGGAGCCCTGGACTGTGCGGTTGATCCAAGAGTCTGGGCTCTGCAGGTTGGGATTGACCGGAGGCGCAGGAGCGACCACTGACGACTGCCTGCGCACAGACGTCTCATCTTCAGAACCTGATGAGGAGTCTGAGGAAGAGAGAAAAAAGGATGAAATATCCAGCACTGTATCCTCCTGGCTAACGGTCAGTCTGTCTGTAAAAGCATTATGACAGAGCAGGAGGACTGTCCTTCTTCCTGTCCTACCTGGTGGTGTGCGGGTTTCAATGGGAGATTGCACATAAGTGGAGCGTCGCTTGGTAGGCATGGGGAGTGCCATCTTCTCCTCTTTATGTTTTGCCAGGGCAGCTTGGACTGCCTCAGTATGTATATCTGCATACACAGAAAACAATATAGTTTGAGTTAGGCATGGTTTGACTTGATCGTAGCAGCTTTGGATCAGATTCAAAGCAAAGAAACAATAAAAGAAACAATGAAAACAGCTTCTTGAATTGACTCATACTAGTCGTACTCTTGTTGTGCTGAACTTTTTCTTTCCCTGTATATTAGCTTATTAACAACCTTTGAACAGGCTAATGCTATTACTTCATTTTAATAGTTTAATTGTGCTGTGAGTCTTCTAGATCAGTGGGTCCTAACCAAGAGGATCTGTATGCGGTTTTGGGGGAGTAGAAACTATGACCTGGGAAATAAGTTAAGATCCTGTTTTCTCAAGGTGTCCTACAAAAGTTTTGGGGTTCCTGGAAAATTCCTGCTTTCAAAAGAGGTAAAACAGTGTCAGGTATAGTAGGAAATAATAGTTAATGCAGTGATGCAGTGAATTATTAGTACAATTATGTTTTCAATTTATCCAGTCAAAAAAAGATCTGATTGGATTTATCTTGCCACAGAATAGGTGACAAGATACATTTTACAGGTTGTGAGAGGATGTGTTGCACAGAAAAGAAGAAAAACAAACATCCGCTAAACAAAATTGTATTTTTTGCTTTAAAAAAAACAAACAAAAAAACGTCCCTCTGGTGACTCTGCTCTCAGCTCATAGACACATTCAACCCACGATGACCTAAAGGGAAACATCACTTCGTTTTAGATGATCACAATCTGCTTTTTTGGTAACCCCTGCTTCGTTTCTTACCATTCATTTTTGACAGCAGCATTTTAGTTTTGTTTAAATGAGGCTTTGTTAAAGAATAAACAGCATATTCACATGTTAAGAAAAAGTATATATATATATATATATATATATAGTAAGGAAGAAGTCAGAAGAAAATCCCAAGAGGATGACTGTGTTTTCACACTGAAACAGGAAACCACGAGAGGAGGAGAGAACGAGGCTGTGTACTAGCCCACACACCTACGCGCCTACATACATGCACACAGTAACAAACCCAGAGATACTTTCACTTGATGACACCCACAGGCACATTAAGAAAGGACCACGTGAACAGCCACACATTCCGACTACGTAACAAAACGTGTGCAACAAAAACCCACTCACTGGCAAATCACATCTATTAAGTCAAAGGACACAATTTCCATTCAAACATAAACACATTTAAATAAATTATCAGGAACAGCTCATTACACAGCAGTGGGGACCATGATTACATAACTGGCATTCTGCTGAACAGACTGCTCTGGGCTAAATCATCTTCTCTCATAATGTGCCAATGTGAACACTGAGATGTTTGGGCAGCTAAAGGCCTTGCTCTGGTATTATCTTTCATATGTACCTCTGGTTTACTGTTACACAGTAGCCTCACAGAAACCAGTCAATATTGTAAATTGGTGGACGCAGTACTGCAGTACTGACAGGTTATTTAAGAGGAGTAATAACTGGAGGAAGCTGGAAGAGAGTAGAGGCAATTAAATCAAAGTTGTTCTGCACTTTCTCTGCAGCCCATAAAATGAGATTACGCTTTCATTTCGTCCGTTTTTCATTGCTCCAGTGTTTTGTCATTTCTCCTTCCTATAACTTCATATTTCTTAATGGTCTCTTTTAAAACTCTGGCTCACCATGTTTTGGCCATGCAAGCAGCGTGGGTCTGGGAATGGCTTTGTCTGTCCGACGGTTCTAATTTTAGTCTTAATTTTGGATGGATTGCCATGAAATTTTGTACAACCATTTATGGTTCACAGAGGATGAATTTTAAAGATTTCCTAGTACACTATATTTACTTTCTGCCATTTTAAGTCCGAAATACAGTCAAATGCCTATTAGATCCAACTAGCTAAAATACAGGCCCGCAATAACCCTTAGAGCTTGATGAAGGTTATAATGTTATAGGGAGGTGTTTGCTTTAACTTTAGGATCATTTGGGAGGATGTAGTTTGTGGTGCTGTTATACTGATAGGTGTTTACATTATTTTGCTGGCACAATTTGTATCAGTGAGTGTAGGCTGTATAGACTGTATATAAAAATAAATAAATAACAGAAACACTTCTACCATATAAACCAGCAACTGAGTGCAATTACGCACTTTAAAGTGCTCTCAAAAAGTGTCCGAATGGAACAAAAAAACTGTAGTGTTCATGACGTGGTAGATGATGATTATCACATTATCATGTGATAATCATGGGTTTGCTTCTCACTACAGAGTACACTCTTGATGAATTAGTGAATGAGTGAGTAAAGGAGGGATTTCAGAGACTTGACTGATATCGACAAGCCTTCCTGTTCCCTTTGAAGGCAGCCTGAAATGGTGCCGTATCAGTGCACTTTTACTGCACTTAAACTGTACTACACTGTGAAAAGAGTAAAATGGACGGCACACTCATTATATAGAAAAAGGCTAATCATGCCCCTCGTCCTTGCTCTGTGTTCTTCTCCTCCAGGATGTCTCTTTCAGCCCATCAGTCCTATAAAACTTTACTTCAACACTGCATTGTTCAAGCCAGAGACAATGAAGCACTACTTTTCCTCAGTCCGTTTCATTTACACTCATTCCTCTTCTGTTTCTCAATCTCAGTTTTGCCTTTACTCTATTTTTGCAGCTCTAATCCTCCCTGTGTGGAATCCCCGTCCCCAATCTCCTTCTGAGTCCTTCACTCACATAAAAAATATTCTGTCACTGGTCAGATTTTCTATGACAACGGAGCATTTTCAAACAACACCTCACCAAACCAGACTGACTTTAGATTATCCAGGCTGTTATTTAGCATGATAGATTTTGCGGGTGTTTCATATAATTAGATAATTATATGATAGAATTGTGAAAAAGGCAAGCAGGACGAGAAAATAAAAAAAAGAAAAAGCAGGGGCTTTTATGGGAGGGAGGATGCTTTGAATGTCTGAACATCATCTACACACATCGACACTTAAATATCCTCTTCACATGCTCTGTGCTCTTTCACCTCTACTCTACTGCTTGGTTTTCCTTTATCCTTGTCAGCGTCAGATCAGTATTCCCCTGTTCTCCTAACAGCCCCCTCACACATAGCCAGGCAGTTACATCACTCTGCTTTCACAGAGTGGGGGTCCTGCTTACCGAGGGGCTCCCCAGCTGCAAGACCACACTGTCGTCTGCCTCGTCTCTCTCAGCCCCACACACACACACACACACACACACACACACACACGCTCTTCTTTAATTGGTCCCTTTGAAACAGCCCAGTGTCTGAGCTTAAAAACAGACACTGGGCTCAACAAGTAAAGCTGATGTAGGCTAATTTGAGCGCTGGAAAGTTATCAGAGGAAACTACAGTATATGTCTTTAGTGATCATTGCATCAGTGGTGTTTTATGTGGGAGCTCTGACCTGATCTGTAGCGGTCATCCCTGGTTCCTCCACTGCGATGTGTTCTGCGGGAGCGGCGTTCTCGGTAACGGGACGAGCTGGAGGGTGGAGGGGCATGGCTGGAGGAGGAACTGGGAGCAGAAGGCTGCGCGTCATTCTTGCGGGGCGGCTCCACTGTCAAATACACACAACAAACATGTATTAATTAGAAAAAACTTGCGAGAGTGATGTTTAGTATCTTGGACGGGATGAGTGATTCCTGTCAACATTTAAAAAAAAGCATGGTCTGTTCTCTTTCACTTTTCTCAAGGACAATGTAGTTAACTTATAACTTGTGATATGGCATAGCAAACTGGATAATGCTTTGATTTTAATTATTAAGGAATTATATTAACTTTTGACAGTAATTTAGGCTGTGCTACATTTTGTATTTTTCTTTCAACCTTTCCTGCTTTATATTTTCTTTTCTTTTTTCTTTCCGAAATTTATGTTGAGGACATTGTCACATTCTGTTGACTCAAGAAGCTTGATAAGCAACCGCAAACATTTTAAATCCTCAAGCCAAGTTTTTAGTCAGCTCCAAACCATCCGATGCTTTAAGTAAAGACAGAGCTGGTTAATTTCCTGCTGGTAGGTACATTTTGTACACAGCAAACAATTTACAATGCTCCAGCATCATTGGGATGAGGGGAGATCAGTAGAGAGATGGTACCACTAGGAGGCAGCCGTGAGCACTGTCTGATCTTAATGTACAATACCAGTGTCATTTACAGAAACAGCCATTTACCGTAGTTATACTGCAATGCAGTTATGTTTTTACCATCTAGTGATTGACAGTGTGAGACCCAGGTTGAAATAACGTGTTATAAAAAGTGAAAATTTAAGTTAACTTCAAAAACAAAAGAGTTAAACCAGATTTTTCAGCTGTACTTTGAGGGGGGGGGGGGGTATACCTGGAGTGTGAATGATGAAGGGAGCCAGGAGTTTGGTCCTTTTCTTCTCATAGCCCTTCTGCGTAATATCACCTGTAAAAGTTCACAGACAAAGCAGCGGATTCACTCAAAGGCTGCACACATTGAGGCAAAATGATTGATAGATCTGCATTACATAACAGATATTTGAATTTCTGTATTCTTGAATAAAGATTTTAAGAGTTAAAAAAGACCCATTCAAAAAATGACTGATTCTTTGTCAAGGAATTGACAGATAGGGGAGAGACGGGTAAAAAAAATGACAACAAAACTTTGTAAAGGAGAAAATGGAAACACAGATGGAGGCACACAGCGTTGCAGTAATCTCCAGAGATGGCTGAGGGCGTCAAAGATGTGGCTCGGTTCCAGCCTCCAGTTTGACACGATGAGAAAAACAAAACAGGACTAAATTTGGAAACGTACGGAAGCGTGGGCAAGAGATAGGATGATTCAGAGGCACGAAAGCTGAGCATAAGAAAGGTGGGAGAATCACGGAGAAAAAACAAGAATGACGAGAGCAAAGAGGAGGATGATGAGGAAGATATGGAGAGGGGAGATGACAGGGTGAGTGACGGTGCAGCCAGGAGGATAGAAGAGGAGGAATCTCCAGTCACAAGTGGTAGAAGAGCAAAATGTCCCTTTGCCACCCCCTCCTATCCCCCCTGCCGACAGCCCATCTGCATCTTCCTCCACCCCACCAGACACAACACAGGCTGACTGAGCACTCCGCTGGCCCTGAAGCGATGCAGTGACTATGCCAAACTCCTCTGTGGGTAAAGCTGTCAGATTTTCAGACACTTACTAAAAATCCATCTGGAGATACTGAACTCACTTCTCTAGTAACTGTGATGGGCAGTGATGATTCTTTCAGTATGTCCGTCAATGGCAGAGCTGGCCACTCTCAAACCTCATCTTTTCACAGAATGTATAAGAATGAGGGAGTCCTGTATTTAAAGTCAAAACTGAAAACTAAATACTGTACGCCTGCCACCGTCTGTGTAACAACAGGTGATCCCATTCTGTGAACGGCAGTGACTCTTCCGCAGTTGTATCATCTCCCAGAGCTCTATGAGTTAATCCCTGATTAGAAATTAGGCTGCTGAGACGCACAGTGATAAAAGGTTGAAGCTTTCCGCCGATGTCGTCTCTTGCCAGTTACACCAAACAGGACAATAGAGATTAGTTGAGGATTTCCAGGCTCACTGACACAGGTGAGAGACTGCCAGGCACGCAAACTACATACTCTACAGACCTGTGGCTGGGCAATGTGGCTGATGTCAGTCACCTTTGGTCTTCTGTTTGACCATCATTTCAATGTTCTGTTCTGTATATGCTGAGATCCTGGCACAGCGGTGATACTGCTACGAGTTGATAAAGGCGACATGCCCAAGAGGTCAGATGATCAGAACAATCCACCATCCTTAAAGTGCTCAAAAATTGTAAAATTTAACACCTAAATTCCATGACAAATGGGCAAACTTCATCTGCTGAGGAAGATCATACTATAGATCATACTACAGCAATATAACAGACCTTGTGTTGAAATTGTTGTGTCAACTGGTTACCAAGGTCAACTGGTTACCAAGGTCAAGAATGAACATTCAATCATTCAGTTTAGCCACAATATCTGAACAACTTCATTTGAAGATAAAAACAAAACTAAACATGGATAACATGATTGTCATAATATCACAATGGACAACTACAGCAAGTATAATATATGGATACTTTCAACAAACAATTTGGGTAATAATTTTACTATTCACCTTGTTTTACTCTTTAGAGCTTCTTAAAAACCTGTATTGCTGTCTCACCATGTGAGACACCATCACTTGTGTTTCTTACACTGATATTCCTCTTTTTATCAATGTTGTGCTGCCAGAACTACAAAAATAAGACCCACTTTTTAATAAACTAGATTCAGTCAATTAAAATAATTAAAGGGGTGTCCAATGCAATGAACTGAACTGTGTTACACTATGATTCAATACATCAGACAAAACTCTTCACACAAGACAAACCCACAAAAACTTGAAAAATGTATCATTTGAACAACAGAAATTGTAAAATGATAATATGATATGATCATTGCAACAGTTCAGCAACTTGCGCATGTAGTCAGTTAAACCACTACACTGGTGACATGTTACACACGAGGTGACAAAAATGAGAGTGCTCGTGTTTGGAAGATATTGCCTGAGAGCTCACTCCAACACAATATCTACTCAAGGACTGGGGCTATTTTTTTTCTGAGGAAAAAATGGAAGAAAAGCAAACACTTCCATAAGTAATGCATGAACGGTACAGTTGGCCTCGCTCAGTCACATGATTTATTTTTAGCTCATGTGAACAGGCAGTTTCTCTGCAGAGTGAGAGAGACAGAGGAAGGGATGGAGTCAGCGATGGGGGAGGGGCTGGCGTGCCATTAAATGAATCTCAAAGTAATCACTCTTCCATCTGGATGATTTGAAATTCATCTGTTTTTTATGGTTGAATTAGGCTCCAGCATTGGGAGCTGAAGAGTCAAAACTCGTCAAAAGGGGGGCGTCCTATCAGTGAACTACATAATATCAGACAGGAAATGAGAATGTGGTAAAATTGGCAACCTGGTATATGAGAAAAATGACAGGAGCGATTATATCATGTTGGGTTTTATTCAGTGCACTTTGGGCAGCCTGAGCTATGGAGCCCCTAAGGGAACATGGGTAAAAAAAACAAGAAAAACATTTTTCTAGCGCCACCAGAAAGTATCACAAAGTATCTGGTGTGTCTGAGATAGTATCTGGTGTGTACAAGATACTATCAGAAGGTATCTGGTGCGGATGAGATAGTATATGTTGCCCATGTCACCTTAGGAGCTCCGTACTGAGCTGTGTGGTATGTACAAATAAAACGTACTCTTTTCCCGTAACTTATTTAAATAAAGATGAGAATTGGTTTTGGTCCGCTCATAATTCAAATAAACAGTCAGAGATGTGTTTAGGAGGCAAAGCACAGCTCCGCTGAAGCTATGAGGGGCTTGCTCGTTAACCCACATTCCCACAGTGACTGTGCTAGTGCACAATCAAACCATTTCAGTGACAAGGGTTTCAGTCAGGCTTTATTTGAGGCTGCCACAGCCCTCCTCTTCTGTTGTGGTTTGGCACTCGAATTTGGTGAAGAAGACTCATGCATTCACCTCAGAGAGTTTGTTTTATGTTGCCACAATCCAGAGAGAGACATCAAAGCTGTGCCTTCAGTAGGCCCTGTACACGCTCGCACTCGCTAGGCCTTGGATTATTTGAATTGCAGCGAGACTGCCCTCTCCTTCTACCCCACAGGCACTCTGTCTGAATAGTAATTAGCTGCCGACCTCTATTCTCTCTCCCTGCTTTTTCCTCTCATGCATCTCATCTCCCTGAGTGGCTTTCTCAAGAAAACAGTTTAAACACATGTCGACACCTGCTCACTGAAAATGATCCAAAGCGTTAAAATATTACAGGGACTTCCAGCTGTTATCTCACAGAAAACAGATGATTTCAACAAAGGTTAGAAGATGAGACACGGTAACACGTTATTAGGCTCCAAGTCAGATCTTCCAAATGTAATAAACCAAGCCTGTTAAAATCTAGACTTTGGTTATGTAACTACTGCAACAGGCTGACATATTAAGGTCCACAATAAAAAATGACATATGGTCCCCCCCTCTGTTTGTTACTGTGCCATCTCTGCATTTGTTGATATGAGCTCAAGTGTGTTACTTTCATGGAGGGATTGTTGTTTATTTGCCAAACCAACCTTCCTGAGGCCTAAAGAGACAGCACATTTTTATCTGTAGAACAAACACGCTACTGAAACCTCCCAGCTGCCTCCTCTTACCAGCAGGCCAAGCCACTAACTCAGCCAAAAGATCACCCACTCACTGTGTCCACACACACCAGTCTGACCACAGTGACAGGACACACACACACACACACACACACACACACCTCCTGAAAATGTTTTTTTAGTTTAGTATGCATTACATCTCTCTTTTTCTTTCACACACATACATGTTTCCTGTTAGGGAGGATGATGTCATGTTCAATCTTGTGTCATCTGACAGGGTTTTCCTGTAGGTCTGGCAACCAAATCCAGCTATATGTTTATACCACCATACAACAAACTGTACTTGTCACTGTTTGACATATAGTCGAAGTGAGAAGTGGTTTGACAACTAAACTTTGGATCACATCTAATAATCTACATCTGTGGCATGACAAGTGTGTGTCTATGCGTGTGTGTGTGCGCCGGTGTATTCCTGTATTCCTGTATTCCTGGCTGTTGGACCACAAATCTCAGCGGAGGAGTCAACTATGTGCATGTCAATACAGGACTGCACGTGTGTCAACAAGTACGAAAAGTAAATTGTGTGACTGACATTTAGGTTGATTTAACGTATAAAACGTATAAAATCTTTACTAACCCCCTTTAGCATCCATTTTTACTCTTTTTCAACAGTTTATGTAGCATTAAAGTTGGATAAAATGTCTTTGAGCATCATTTTATACACAGTTTCAACAAATTATCCTTTGCTATCTTCGGACAAACCAGAGAGTATAAATCATATAGTAGCACATTTTCTTAAAACACCGTTGCAGACTAATGGCGTGTCCCATCATCATTGCCTTAGTCAAGACAGTTAAATGTCTGAGGAACTGTTTTAGTGTGACAAAGGACGATACAATTGCTTCTCTTTGTGTCATTGAGACTTACATACAGTAACCCAATAATAAAGTCAAATATGATGATGTCATATAAACAGCAGTCTATTCACACTGTGATTGTTCACCTTTCTGGTAAATTTCATATTCTCTGTAAATACTGTTTGTGTAACAGTAATACAAAACAGAAAATAGTAAAGTGATAGAACAGAAAAAAACAAATGCCTGAACAAACGCATGTAAAAAAAGAACAATTTATAAAATACACATTCTTTCACCATGCTGTAAAGTTCATAGGTAGAGGCAATACATGTACATATGCGTATTACTCAGACAGTAAAACTGGTATCACAGGCATTAGTGAGTCAAAGA